TTAACAACATTGGAGAGACAATCAACGTCAGCGAACTACGAACAACTCAGTGTTTTCCGCAGCAGTGGGTCCTACGGTACCGAAGGATGGCTGTACCACGCACGAGGCGACTGGACAAGCCTGCTGCGCAACCACTTGCAAGCTTCCATGCTTGACTCATAACCAAACATCTACTCCGTACGTCCACTAGTGTTGCTGGGGGCAAGCCTGTTTGGCCACCCCATACGGAGTACACCATGTCTACATAGTAAGTCTCTAGCATACGTCGGCCCCCAGCCCATCTTCGTCATCGTTGGCGGTTAACCGCCGACGAGAGCAACGAAGAAGACACATTCCAGATATCGGGGTGACACGCCAAATGGAACATGGATAACCAGGGTACCTTGAAGCGACCGAGTCTGCGGCATGTCTCGAGACAGAAAATACACAAAGGCGGTTCGGAAGCGCGCCAGCCACCGCTTCCTCGATAAAGTCGTCAGGTCAGCTCTGATCTCTCATCATCGCCCAGTGGAGAAAATTTCCGGGTCAGACCGGCTGGCCTGGTCGCAGATGATGACAGCTGAGGGGATGCAAAGCGTGTCGGGCAGGTTGTCCTGAGAGTCTAGTGGGAACATCTGGACCAAGAAAGGGAAAAAAATCGTGGCAGAGCCAGGGTCTCTTCATTCTCTCTGCCAGCGGCAAGGTGGTATGGGTATGGTCCTAATGTTTGGCTTCGGGGTCTGGCTGGCATTTGTCTCGATTTACCCTCAACCTTATGGTGGAGGTAGCGGAACGCTAGGAGCATGATGCAGCGAATACCCCCAGTAACGATGCCGGTCCATCCTGGACCCGACGAATGACAGTTTCAACAACGGCACCCCCCAAAGACGTAGCCAAGCCCAGCCCCGGGACGCCAGCCCCATGCCTCACTCCGGTATCCTTGCCAGAGGCGACAGCTAAAACAAGCCTAACGCTCGCCGTGCAACCCTGCTACGTTTCCCAGCGTTCGCTCCCGCTCCGGATGAATTGACCGTCGCATGGGTGTGCTGCGCCAGGCGCTTGACACTTTGCTGTTCAGGGGCACGATCCTAGCGTTTGGGTTGGACACGCAGAAGCCGTAGCCACATGGACACGCCGCTTACTATCATTTCTTAATATGTGCCGAAAGACGGAACTCCAATTTCGGCAATATTTCTGGTTAGTGTACGGATACGGCGAGCCAGTGATGGACCTCTCAATACCACGCTGCGCTCGAAAACAAAGGCGGTGTGTAACACATCTCACGGGCGCCTTATTCGTACCTACCACGGTAGAGGGTCTTACATAGGTAGAGTCTTACATACCTAGGTAGCTTGATACGATGCGCGGTACAGAGTATCTGTACACGCGGTAGTTTTCTCTGGATACGCAAACTCCCCGTCCCATCCCATAGAACCTAGGCTCGTTGTTTGGATGTCACCGAGGCACGATGCTGGTTCATAATGTGCAGTTGGCCAATGCCCTTCATACAACTTCCCCGATGGTTCCATTCGAATTACTTCCGCCCTATCGGCGTGCGTAAGCCGATGAACATGGGAATAGCCTTTGCTAGAACCGGCTCTTGAAATTGGATATTTATGCCGTCTTGGATTTGCACTTCGCTCTCTAACCCATGCACTACGCTTCCAAGTCGTGCTTCATCGCCTATCTGTCCCTGCCATGTGATGTCCCAGCCCCTTCTTGTGTTTCACCGCTCGGCCGAGATCGCGGAGACGGCGACGGCGACTGCAATATCGGCGTATGCCCGCCGCTCGAAGATTGTAAGGAGGGCCAGAAACCCCAGCGGCGTTCCGCCCGAAATGCCGCAATCTCGATACTGCATGGTAAACTATCCATCACTCTCACGGGCCCACCTGTGGATATCCGCACACGAGGTGGCGTCCATTTCTCCTCTCTGGGTAAGACATTGTTGCATTGAAGCCCGGTGCCGTGCGTCACTGCTGTTGAGCCTCGTGGGCCTTGAAACTCCACCCTCTCTGTCTGTATCTTCGCTAGGCGCCGCCAGGTTGTCCATCACCCATAATTGGACGCCAAGTCTTTTATGGCAATTACTTCACAGAAGTCACGGGTCGATTGTGTGTACACACAATTTGGGATTGCCTTTGGACTCGGCGATCTTCATCGGACATGCTTAGCTGTCGTCGGCGAATGAGCAGGGCGGAACATGCACTTGCCCAATTCGGGATTCGTCAAGATGACCTATTGGCAACAAACCCAGAGTGACTAGGTTGGTACGTAATACAACGTGACAAGTGTGTCGTCAACACCGGGCCGGGTCCATGCAAATGACTCGGCGCCTGCCCATATGAGAGCTTCGGACTGGGTTGACCCAGGATCGCGCTTCGGAATGCATTGGGCGGTGGGCTTTTCTGATGTCGGCTCAATAACGTGGGGCCAAGTCTACGCACCACTAGGTACGGATACTTGATGGTGCATAAGGCATGAATCATACCTACACACATAGAGAGCCCTATTGTGGAACCAAGGGCCAGCTGTTCGGACGAATGAATGTGCATATAGAGGGCTGCTTGTTGAAGGGTCAGCCTTGAGCTCTGGGGAGGCGCACGAAACAACAAGGCCTACGAAGGAAGGCGTACCTATTCAAAGAGAAAACAGCCTCGGGAGGTCTAGAAATCGAGACTCTGGTTGTCTGCAGGTACGAACACTACCAGGCGGCGGTTGAGGTAACTCGGCCCTCTCGAGGCGGGCTGAGGCCACACATGGCAGGACGGGTGCGCGTACCTAGAGGGCCCTGGTTGGTCCTAGTATAGCAAGGATTGTGGAAGGCTTCCAGAAGACGGTTCGGGCTGAAGAACAAGGTGTAACGGAGTCGCCCCCCTCCTTCACCTTTCCACTACGGATACCGCGTGAAAATGAGTCTTCACTAATCTTCTTCGCAAAGAACTTAGGCCTTGTCCACGATATCAAATGGCATTTATGCACGCAGCCTTGGTACCACGCAACCCCCCATCATCCAACCAGCGGTGAGGATCCTGGGCCACAAATGCATATTTGTATGCAGCGCATAATAGTGAGGACCCTGGATCGGGTGGAAGCTATGTGGATTGTGATGGTCGGTGGACTGCATGACTTGGACCCTGAGCATCTAGAAGCTCTGAAACGCAAAGGGACTCGAAACTCGACACAAGTTGGCCTATGGTAGACACGTTGGAGGCTTTGGGGTTGGGTTATTTCGTGTTCCTCGGGGGGAGGGGGCAGTACGCAGTAAGGAGATGACTTCCGTTCGCCGCCTTCGGGTGTTTATTTAACCATCGCCAAGTTGGAATATTCTACGTCTACATCAGTCGGGCTTGTAAAGTAGAGCCCAATCACAGACACCCCCAAGCGTCGTTCTCATCGTGCTCTTCACGGAGATGATGCCGAAACGGCGGGGTAGATCTGGCCCCTTCGTTGCAATATGCCGCACACGGCTGGTGCAGGCAACATTGACCCATGCCAAGACGATGTCGGAAATTTTCTGCAGTTGCCGCAGTCCCCGCCAGACAATGTCGAACCCGAATCCCATGTGACTATTCACGCGGCCGCCCGCAAGGGAACGAGGTTCGCTCATTCCAGGCGCAGCAACAAATAGCAAGTCAATATCTCGAACTTGTTGCAACATCTTTAACAGCAAACAGCACACTTCACGGAGATCCTCTGGCGCGCAAATCGGAGTGCAGAGGATCGCAGGACGAGAGAGTGGTGCCAGAAGACCAGAGACGGCCCAGACTAGAGCATCAGGCCACTTCCGTCATCCTGGCCACACGCAACGAACAGACCTCTAGATGGTTGTGTTGTGACGATGCGCGGATAACGAAGTGCGCCGCGAAGTGCGGCTTTCGGCCACTGCCGGTGAAGAGGAGCCGTTCGCTCGCCAACAACGAAGCTTCCCTTGGCTGCTCAGACCTGTTGGCCATTCACCAACTCGGGGAGACTCGCCCTGGATGCGGCGGTAACCCAAACCCAGAGGAGGGGGGGGGTGCTTCGGTCATTAAGCACTCTGGGCATAGGTCGGCAATCTAGGATGTCTGTCCCCATGTGAATGATTACTTATCAGGGCGTATTCTCAGGGCTGTTTGAAGGCTTCGGGGAGCACGGGTTTTCGGTGTTTGAAGCGACTACGACTTACCTAACCGACTGGGGCTGAGGGCAAACGGCGAAAATAGGAACTGAGCCAAAGTGGTCAGACCAGCGAACGACATTAGTAGCTCTTGAGCTGGAGGCGAGATGCTGAACCAGTCGGAGCCGACCTAGCCCGGGTCTTTGCACAGCTGACTCAGCGAATTTCCAGCTGCTCAGTCAAACGCCGAGAAATTTCCGCCATCAGCCTCTTGTGAAAGCCGCTCAAAGGCCGCTGGAAGACCGCTAGAAGACCGCTGGGCTGTGGCCGTGAGGCGCTGAGCGAGGCCGGCCAGGACCGGGCAGCATGTGTCGATTACATCATGCCGTACATTAGCGACGACGACCTCATGGCACGATTCTGGGTCCCGATACGACTGACTTTTTCGCCCATGCCGAATTCCTCCAGGTTTTCAATCGCCGTTCGCATCTCTGTCATCACCTTCGGCGAACCCCATTCCATCTGTTTTAATCCGGATAAGCCCGAACCTGCCATTTAATTAGCAATTCAGATCCCCGAGATACCTATCTAGCACCAGACCACCAAGCCTCTCATCGCTGCACACGCGAGCACCAACGGCAAGCTATCTTATACATTTAGCTAAGAACTCGCCCCCCCTAACCGTCATCCATTCGTCACTAGTCACTGGGCACATCGTACGATACCATTTACCCCACGACCGCCGCTCCAATTCCCGACGACACCAAAACCACAAGGCTGCGCACCTAACCCGACTCTGTTGCAGCTTCACGTCACATCTCTTCTTTTTCTCATACTTTTTACTACTCCCAAAAAGGCAGGGCTATTACCTTGCATACCCTCTGATACGATACGCCGGAATTCCGCGCCACAAATCCCAACCATGAAGGTCCTCAGCAAAGAAGAGGAGGCCGAGCACTACAGCGTCGTCGTCAAGGCCGGCCTCATCGGCGGCACTGTCGGCTTCGGTGCCGGCCTCGGAGGCGTCCTCTTCGCATCCAGGCGCTACCCGGCGTTCCGTCAGCTCACCCTGCCCTTCCGCTCCTTCCTCGTCACCTCGTCCGCCACCTTCGGCGCCATCGTCCATGCCGACCGCGAATCGATCCGCTTCGGCAAGGAAAAAGACCCGATGTACGGCTACAAAGACGCGACCGCGCGCGCCGTCGCCGAGGCCAAGGCCAACGAGCCAACACTGCAGAAACTCAAGGAGTGGGGTCGCGAGAACCGCTACTCCATCGTCTTCGGCTCCTGGCTCGCCTCCATGGGCGTCGCCCTCTCCATCGTCGGCCGCGACAAGTACCTCACCGGCCCCCAGAAGCTCGTCCAGGCTCGTGTCTACGCCCAGGCCCTCGCCGTCGCCATGCTCGTCGTCACCGCCGCCTTGGAGATGAAGGACGCCAAGCAGGGCGCCGGCCGCTGGGAGACGGTTATGATTATCGATCCCGAGGACCCGGAGCACAAGCACCTCATCCAGAAGAAGATTCACAAGGAGGAATACGAGGGTCAGGACCTGTGGAAGGGTAAGCTACGCCCCCTGCTTCCGAAATGCATCCGGCCTGCTCCTTATCTGAAAAGCTCTAAACTGACTCGATATCCACAGACATGGTTGCTGCCGAGGAGCGCCGCATCGCCGCTCGCAAGGCTGGCGAACACAAGTAAACGTGTTCACCTACCCCACCTACCTATACCTTGCAACCCTCGAGCGCCCTCACCCACCTTACTTCCCAGGGGGGAGGGTGGTGGTTTTCTGTAACATTTTCCAAGTTATTTACCCCTCTACGTCATCTCTTATGTCCTACAAATAGTTAGAGGCTTTCGAAAAAGCGCATTTCTTCTCCTGGGAGTTAGAGGAGAGCGGCTTGCGGTTGGCTGGCTGGATGCATTACTGGCGTTATTTATTTGTCTGGCTTGGGGAGAGAGTGTGTGGGCGTCAAGACCAACCAGTCACAACTGTTCAATGATATGAGTGCCGAAGCAAGCGAGCGAAAGTTGCTTTCTTAGACGGACTGATGAGCATACCATGGCCTAACTTATCAGGCGATGATGAGCGTCTAGACGATCCATTGAATACAAATTCTCCATTAATCACGAAGCATCCTCCTCACACAGATAGTGTCTGGCAAGAGAGATATGTCTCATGTTTATTTCAATGTCAAGGCGTGCGAGGAATCGATTTTGCTTCGGCAACTTGGCTAGGTTGGGTTACACCCACACCTACAGACGACAACTAACATTTCTCACTAGCTTTCCTTGACACTGCCGAATTGACTCGTTCCTATGCATGGCCCGCATCTGCCGTCGTCCTCGTTTACAAATTAGAGTGTGACACGCACACACCGTATGCTTGGCTCGCAAGAATCGGAATATGTCACTCCCCCGCCACACAATCCTCCGCGAACGCGCACACCACCCCTCACCCCCTTCCTTCTATCTCTCCCTCTCCGAGGCCTTCTGAGGAAAGGCTCGCAGTTTGCTCCAAATCTCCAATCTCCAAGTCTCCAACTGCACGTAATCGACCCTAGGACGATCACCGAGACGCTACCCCCTCACACCCTCGACTAGTGACGTACATACAATCTCAATCTACCCAAGCACGTGGGGGGGACAGTGTCAATACGCGAGTCAGTCAAGGCAGTCGATCCGGCTCAGTAGACACAACAATCCTACGCTGACTCCGCGAGATCTTACGAGGTTACGGATCCGCCACGTCACACATGATAAACAGTGACAGATGGCGGTTTCGAATTGTGACTTTATTTAAGAGGGAAAATACATGCCTGCCTGCCTGCCTGCCTGTCGCCAATCGGGGTTTTATGAAGCCGTTCCGTCATCAAGCATAAGTACTGTAGCTAAGAAGATGGTGGGGGGGGGGGGGGGGGGGTTGTTGAGGTTTAACGATACAAGTTGAGCAGATCTTGAGAACACTTTCACAATAACAAAGAAAGAAAAAAAAGGAAAAAATAAGGAGGTAACACAAGATAACAAGAAACGCAATAATAACGGAGTGATAGGCCTCAAACCTCGATGGTGAAGTGGCTAATTTGGGAATAATATGCATGCACGGCCAACTCCAACATCCAAACATCGCTAAACACCTCGCTGCCGTCGAAGCCGCCGATGACAAACAGACGGCTGTCATACAACACGGTGCCGTGATAACCCCTGCCACTAGGCGGCAGCCCGTAGACACGCCGGCGATCCCAAGTCATGGTGACGAGGTTCAGCAGAAGCACATCATTAGAGTATTCGTTGCCATCGTGGCCGCCAATGACGAACAGATAGGAGCCCACGAGGGTGGCTGTGTGGGACAGGCGACGGAAGGTTTGCGGGATAGAGACTGCCTTCCAGATGTGGGCGTCGACGTCGTAGACCCACACGTCGTTGAAGCACTCGCCGCCATCGGAGCCGCCAAAGATGATGAGCTTGCTGCCTACCATATTGGCGGTGTGATACCCGCGGGGTTTCGGGCGGGTTTCCCGGACCCCGGGAGGCGGGATCCGCTCTGGTCCGGAGACGAGCTTCCACGACATCTTGTTCATGTCGCTGACGTCAAGCCTCCAGACATCATTCAGAGCACGCACGCCATCGCCACCTCCAAAGATGTAGATCCCGTTCTTATACAGGCAAGCCGTATGGGCCCGGCGTTTCGAGGGAACACGTTCGCCTGTGATCTTGGGTCGGTGCCAGCGGAAGTTGGTCGTGTCGAGAACGTATATGTCATTGTAGTACGCAGGCCCATCGCCGCCACCAAATATCACGAGTTTCTTGCCCACGGCGGTGCATGTCATTGCGCGCAGCGGAACAGGGATCTCGCCCGTGACATGTGGTACAGACCAGTAAAAAGCATCGGCGTCAAAGACATAGAGCTCGTTGAAACAAGCACGCGAGTCGCACCCTCCGAACACAAATATATTGGAGCCAACCAACGTTGTCGTATGAGCACGGAGCGACGTGTGAGGAGCACCCGAGACGGGCGCGCGAGACCAGTACATGCCTGATGAAGGAGCCGGGGGTACATCTGGCGCTGTCTTGGGGTCCTGAAGAGGCGGGAAGGGGGTATACTGGCCCTTTGGGGCAGATCGGGATGAAGAGGTCGCAATGGAGGGCTGTCGTGTCGAGGACGATGAGAAAGGGAGTGAGTGCTTGCCGGCTATTGCGGACGTTGAGCGCATGGCAATCGGGCGGCGGCTATCACGGTCGGAGCCGTGGCCGCCGGTGGACTCAGAGCCATCGTTACTATTCAGGGTTGTGGCATCGCTGGCAGTGTTGTTGGGTCGGAAGGAAGGCGGCGGTGGCTTGGGAGTGCTAGAAGTCGTGAGAGCAGTACGGGAAGGTGGCTGTACTTGTACTGCTTGTGTTTGCGAGGCCGATTGGGAGCGCTGGCGAATGGATAGCTCGGAGGGTTTGCGGCGACGGTCCTGACTCTTGGACGGGAGGTGGCCGGACGTGTGAGAACGGGGGAGGGTGCCGCCGGGGGCGGAGGGGACACGACGGTGGTCGATGTCACGGTCGCTGAGGTCTTCGAGATCGTCAGGCAGGCCAGCGACAGGCGGAGGTGGTGAGGGGCGCGGCGGACCGCCGGGCGAGGGACCGGATATCTTGTTAGAGCGGACGGCCTTGGACTTGAGGGGGGGCCGGGGGATTTTGTCCGGAGACCTGGCCGAATCAGCCATGGTTCGGCGGGGCGATGGTCATTGCCCCCCTCTCGCGAGGACGTGGATGAATGCCCGGGGGTTGGTTTAAGGGGGGCGATTGCGGCTGCGGTTGCGAGGGAGAGGAAGTTGAATGGCGAGGGCAGAGGAGGGGGGGGGGGGGGGGGGTTGGCAGGCCAATTGCCCGGGTAAGGTTGTCTCGAGAGCCGTGTTTGGGGCGGGGCGGGCGTCGGGCGTGAGTCGTGAGAGGAGTTGGGTACACGACGAGGTTGTAGTTAGGACGACCCAGCGATTGGCGGCGGTTGGTGTTTGTGGTGGTCGTCTGTCCGGATAGGTAGGTGGTTGCAGAATGCTGGAGAATCGGAGCCTAAGCCCAGCCGCAAAATGAGAACCCGTCCACCTTGGAGAGAGCACAGGTCACAGCTCTGTCCAGCTTGTCGGGGCTTGGAAGGCGGTGGTCATTACTGGCTCCGCTTCAGGGTCAAGCAAAGCGAGGCAAGGCAAGGCAAGCGAACCGGAACAGGAAGACCAGCGAAGCCAGCCCAGGTCCCCGGGCAGGGTAAGGTGCGTTCGGGTAAGGCAGGGCACGCCTTCGGTGACGGGGTCTTGTTAGTGCAGTCAGGCGCGGTGCCCCATGCCAGCTCACTAGTATCTACACAGCAAGGTAGGTACCTACCTCTATAGTTTAGGAGCGAGGTACCGTAGCCACTCGTCAGATCCGATATCTGCTAGTTCTTGGGCTAACGGGAAGGGGTATCGCGGCCGCCGTAAGGAGTATGATTTACTGGCAGAAACAGGGATCTAGTGGTGGCAAAAGTAGGGGTTTGTCATGTATATTAGAAGCAAATTAGGTAGGAAGTGTGAGAAAGGCAAAAGGCTAGCAAGCAGGCTTGTTATGGTTGCTAGACGTCTTTCGCTAGGTATTGACCGCCTTCTATTATAGGACTAGTTCAGCGGGCCACACTATACCTTATATAGTAACCGCGATACCTATTCCCGTTAGCTCCAAAGTCAGCAGATGTCGGATCTGACGAGTGGCTACGGTGCCTAGGTTGGCACTCACCTTACTGGAGCATGATGCCGGCTCCTTGCGCGCCATTGGCTAGACCACCACCGCGTCATTTGGTACCCTAGTTCCAGCCCGTGTATTACAAGTCTCGTTACGGAGTACGGGATTGCCTTTGCCGAAGCTCACCACGGACCACCGCCAGCACCTGCATTGACACCTTGCCTGATTTGCCATCGCCGCTGGTGCTGGTGAGCGACGAACGGTGTGATTAGTTGGGTGCGTGCGCAAGCAGCCCGATGTTTGCTCAGCTGTACGTGTCTGATTCCAGACTGCTGGTATCCGACATCAATCATGTCACTCGTGTGTAAGGTCATACCGAGTCGTACAACCTCGTGCTATACTCGGTGCTTGTGTGAGTGGATTCAATGTTGTTGTGTTTGGAACAGAAGAGCAGAATCCCAACGACTTTGACTGAAGAAGACCTTGAAAACACGCCGTCTCTAGGTACACTAAGGGAGCGTAACCCTCTCACGCATTCAGATCCTCCTCGTCCAGAGTGACTGTCTGTCGCCAGCTTGAACTCTGACCTCACAACCTCCCCACAACGCGGAAATCCACACAAACAAACATACGCTGGTGCGCCAAGACATCGTTCTACATAGGGATGCGGCCGAGAGACATCCCCAAAACGTCACCAACCCTCAAGCCACGCTCAAGAGACTCGCCCGAGGGCATCATCTCGCGAATTTGCATGTAGCCCAATACGCCATGGTCCTGACCCAGACTGATATCTAATAACATGACAACGGCCTATTCCGCCGAGACGTTGAATAGACGTCTGCGTGTGCCTTGTACGAGCAATTGACCTATGCTCTTGAGCATGGAGCCGCCAGTGTCTGGCTGCGAAAAGGCGATGACTATACACGGACGCAGAAGCACCGACGTGGCTCCAACGGTAGGCTCCAATGGATTCTTGATACCTTGAGACGTTAGGGAAGGTCAAAGACAAGAAGAGCTCAGCGCCACTTGATCTGATCACTTGGGTCCTTGACCGTTCCCCGTCTAGTGACGAGCTGGCGTGGCCTAGTTCTCGTGCCTATAGCCTTTCTGGTGTTCTCTATATCGTCTCTCGTCCCCTTGCTCGTTGATGAGACGGTGCTCAGTCGCGTGAACAACCAAGCCATGAGTCAGGGTTTGGGCTTCGACAGATACGACTGCTACATCACGGCGTCTATGTCAGTGACTGACCCTCTCTCTTCGTTGCACTTCGAATGAATCGCAACCCCCGAGGCTAATTAACCTACTTTTGTCCGAAGTGAACCCCGCCTGAACACCGCCCATATGTCATCACATCGGCTTTCCCACGTATCTTTCTTTTCTTTGCGGGCTTTGGTAAGCATTGGGAAGTAATGGCATTTTCGACACGCTTCGCGCGCGAGAACTACTGCTGCTACGCTGGGGATTCACCTTTGGCCGTCAAGTCCCACAAGTTTAGGCAGGTGTGCGTAAGGCGGGGCTCCGCAACAAGCTCCTTCGTTTCTGCCGGCGGAGTCCTTCACATATCTTCAACAATGACATTCCAACTTGACGGGTTACACAAACCCCACAAACAATATTTACATCCCTTTCTAGGTAATCTGAATGGTGCGACTGTTGCCGCAGATTGGGTTTCACTGACTAGCCCAAATAACGCAAAAGTAAGATAAGAAGGGGGAAGTCTAACCTGTAAAGATGGTATGACGCCAAGGCATGCTATGACGCCAAGGCATGCGCGACTAGTTCAGGGACAATCAAGGAAGTTGGCATCGTGCGATTCACATACTCTTTTGGTTCATCCAGCTTTTGACCACCGTTATGATTGTCAACTCTTTTTCAGAAACGGTGACTGTTCAAGGGTACGCGTTCCGAGATGTGCCAGGCATTTCACAAGACCCCTTACCACCAAGACAACCCATATCTCAGGTGGAGGGGCCATGATTCAGTTCTGGCAATTTCCTGCCAAAACCAGGGGAGTGTTGCAGTTGTCGATGGACAGGGCCTGGCCATACACGTGGATGGGCCATCACCGGATATATTGCCCATCAGTTTGATTGACATGGAGCCCCAGATATAATGACTGTTTTGCGTCATACTCCTGCCAATCAACCTTGGCGAGTCCGACGAACGACAACGGAGAACTGGACTGGGTAGATGGTTATCAGAGCTCTCGTAACGATCTAGCCGTCTTTGCGACCTCGCACGTTGCATCAGCGAGTGCACCTCGATACGTGCCTCGGCTGGATATCGGTATCGCAAAGATCGGAGGACGGCATTCCCAAGTTCAGATCATGATCAGACAAGGGCCTGAAGAAGCAAGGAGCCGAAACAGGCAATGGCGAAGACCAAAGTACTGTGTACCAACCGGCGTTGGACGCCGGATGTACCATCTACATCTGGAGTCCTCCACCACTTAACCCTATTAACAAGCCCACCCTCCCTCTCCAATTCTCGACGAACCACAACATGTAAGATCCATTCTACGTCATTCATACCCACACACTCAAGTAGTACCACACTTGCATCTCCGAGGACCCAATGGAAGCGCTGTAGTGGTGCCAAGGCAGTGGGTAATTGCTGCCCATCCAGCGACTCGGGTGCCTCGCCTACCTGCGAGACCGGCCGGTGCCAGGTCCATCCGTAGCGGCAGGCAAGACCATCAACCAACGGCAGAAAGGCCAACCCACCGGGGAATTGGGAACTAGCACGGATGCATCGGAGCGAAGCCGGTGCCATGACTCGCTCCGCATAGGTCACGTCCGGAAGGGGTTCAGTCGGATGTCACCCCTGATGTTCGGAGGGGGGTGGCCTGGTCGTGGAGGGATGAGTCTGCGCTAGAACTGGTGGAGTATCCAATTACCCTGGTGTTGGTTCTTGGGCCATTTATTATTCCGCCTGTGCACTAGCATCCGATATGGTGTAGTGGCCAACATGATGCCCTCTCATGATTGAGAGGCTAGGCATAGCCCCGAGTTCGATTCTCGGTTTCGGAACTTTTGCATTTTTTGTCCGTTACTCACTCACTCACTTTAGTTATATGTAAGTCGTGTTGTCTGGCAGGAAACTATCAAACAAAATAATCAACTAATGGAAGGAATAATGAATGAATGATGTTTGCCCCTGATTCTTACCTAATGGCAAGCAAATCAAATCATAGATAGATAATAATAGGTGATGGATAATAATAGGTGACAAATAATACTAGAAAACGTGTAAGCAAAACACACACACACACACACCTAGGGCCAGATCACGTATAGATAGATATAAAGAGGGAGAGATATATATGTATTAATTATATTTCATTATGGCTCAAACATAGCGAATTAGACATGCATAGTTCGACATCGTTCAATATTCGTTAATCAATCAATCAACTTGAACGGTTCCTAGAGACCGCCATGGTCCGCAACTGTCACGGACCTTCATGCTCACTCCGACACTCGTCTCAACGTGTAGTTTTAGCTGCAGCGTGCAAATTGTTCACTGTCATGCTGTGAGCACCTTGGCACCTCCAAGCTACCGCCGATGGTGCTTCGCCCCTTACCACTACGTGCTAGGAGGTCTGCGCGTCTATGGTCCAGCGTCTGAATGACAATTCTCAATGCCCTCTCGGTGATAGATTGAAGCACAACAGTCCTGAAAATGTATTCCGAATTGGAATCGGCGCTCTACTTGAGCAATGTCGCCATGGCGGCTTCAACACCCAACGCTCATGGGGCGGGGCTTCATCTCTGCCGCATCGTGTTGTGGATGTAAGTTGGCGGATAGCTTGGGAAGTGCATCGAGCGTCGATTCGATGGTTTCAACTTCATGATCTCTTTCTGACTGGCTTTCGACAACTCGATCGAGGAGGGGTATACAATAAAGAAGTTTGCCGCATCGACGGACAGCCGGAGGACTACGTTTGTACATATGTTCACCGTGTGTCCAGCAAATAGTAATGGCGGTAAGTTAGACAAGATTGGCAGTGGAAATATGAAGGAAGTCCGGTGGGTATTTTTACTCTAAAAGATTAGGATACCAACCTCACTCTTCGCTCCCGGCTTCCGAATGCAGAACACTTAGTTTTGGTGAAGAAAGGCTCTCGGTGTCTATGACTGAAACAGGGAGGGAGAGACCTCGGACCTTTCTCACATATCCATGGAAGGCTTCATCTCCCTCAATATTGAATTCTTTGCTGGGCCGCTAGGGCCTTCTGGTATTTAAGGCTATAAATATGCTTTTCCATGGTAGTGACTTCGTTGTCATCAGAGCCATCAAGCACCCATTTGGCCTCCTCTTTGTGACATCTCTTGCTCAATATCATGCTTCAAAGATGGTCTGAGGGTTTCTCGGGTAGTCTGCCGATACACATAAACCACTTTTGTCCATGGTATTGATATAATTGATTGAACAAACGAATGTGGCAGGAACAGTTGATGCTGAAGTATACCCCACCCAATAGGCAGGACGGAAAACGGCTCGGATTACACCAGTGGAATTAATCGAGTATCAATATGAGCTCGTGTTTTCTACCTGATACCTTCGAGTCGGACGATTCCCGCTATAGTTCATTAGCAACCTTGCGAATGTAAGTCGTTGCTAGGAAAAGTTTTCAGGAAACCAGTGGCCAGTCCTTGGGAGTGGTTGCTAATTCGAGTTGATACATACATCCTATGCTATCCGACACCATGATAGGAGGCAATTACATACCAAAACTACCCGACAGACCTCGCCCTTCGTTCGGGGTAGCTATCGCGATATAAGGGGAACTCCCAGAACGGCAAAAGTAACTGTGAGTAAAGTACTAGCCTAGCCAAGACCTTTTGTCGATTTTGCCATATCCTGTTTCTTTTCCTTCTTTTACCCAGGCGAAAAAGACCCAGAGAGCACCGGGCGTCCCCCAAAGCACACAGAAGTACCAACCTAAACGCCTTGCGTCCTTCTCCTTTCCGTCCCCATCAGACCATATCATAGCTCCCAGGGAATAAGATCGCATTCGCCATTCCTACAAGCGCCTTCGCGATCGGATTCCTCCCCTCCTTATCCCCCCACGGCAACAAGCCCATGGCCCTGAGTCCGTCCTCCCCGCCGGCATCGCTGACCTCCTGCACGCCTGGCCGACCCATATGCGTCGTCTCCCCTTTACCGCCCCCAAAGTCCGGGCTCGGCTGGCCGAGGAGGAACGCCTTCCGCTGGCGGGCGAGGTAAAGCGCGTTAGTCTGCGTCAGGGGACAGGCCGGGATATACATGATCGTCGCAGCCGCCGCCGACGGAGGCACCCTGTCGACGCCGTACACCATGTCCGGGTGCCAGACAACGTAGTCACCTGGTCGAACAGTTGGAATCCGCACAAGAGACTTGTCGAGCTGCAGGTGCGGGTGAAGCACTGAGTTAAGTTCTTGCGTGTACGACGGAACGGCGCCCTGGATGATACTCGTCTGAGCGAAGTCCAATGTCCAGTTTTCACGTGCAAGAAAGTTTGGAGCGGTCGGCGAGGAATTATGAGGGGAGAAGAAGGGGCGTAGCAGGAAATAGGCTGTGGCGAGCTGGAGCATGGGGCAGAGCAGAAGGGTGCCGTCGGCTGGATCGATGTCGGACATGGACAGCCAGCCCTGAAACATGCGGAACATGCTGCATGAGCCTGCTCCGTTGTAAAGGTCCGAAGTGACCTTAAGTCGGGTGCTGCTGTCCCAAGGGTCGTAGTCCTCCCACCGTCCGTCCCAGATCCGCTGATACGTTCCAGCGTTCCCATAGCCGTCGCTCTCCCAACGTTCCACGCTGCCGCCATCGACGTGGGCGTTTAGATGCCATGTCTCGTCTCCCGGGGTACGTATCCTTAGACGGTCAGCGTATGCGACGGGGTTATCGACCACCACGGGGGCGTTTGGATCCCGGGACCGCCACAGGCCCATCAAGAACCGCTGGGCGGCGAGGACATTGGGATGGGCACGACCCTTGATTTGTGCCGGAGACCAGTAGATGCCAAAGAGGTGAGGGTCGCGTGTCGGCCAGCCCTTGGTATGCGGATTCTCGGAGAGGTAAGCCTCCGTCTCCTCCCGCCAAGCATGGGCTTCAGCGGCCGGTACGACATTGCGGATGACGGCACCACCTCGACGCCGGAGCTTGGCGGCGAATTCGGACACCCGGGAGTGGTCCTGCAGCTCGGAGAAGTCAATGGTAGGAATGATGTCAGACTTGATGACGGCGATGACGGCGATCTCGGCGCGGAGGGCGACCAGCAGGCGCTCCCACGACTGCAGTATTGCATACTCCTTGCCCGCGACGAGACTCCGTTTGATCTGAGCGAACCTCGGCGGGAGTGGGATTGGCCCACCGTTCTCTGTGAAGATTTCGTCGGCACGCATAAAGCCTCTTGGATGGTTGTCCAGAGCAATTGGGAAGGACTGAGACCAAAGCAGACTGGGGGTGTCAAAAGGTGAGAGAAGCTGAGAGAACAGGTCGTCAGGCATTGATGGGGGTGGCGGAAGCAAGGGATCATCCCCGTCCTGGTCATATTGATCTCCAAACACATCGTCGTTCATGATGCACAGAAAATGACTGCAGAGTACAACGTCGTACTCGCAGTACCCTTGGTGTCGCGTGTTCGTCGTGCAAATGTTACCGGAGTGATGGCATCGGGGCCCGCCGCCGACTGGCTCCCGGGGTCCAAATGGCCCGGGAAAAGGTCGGGTCGCCGCGGCTCAGTGGTGGAGGTCACGACTTCTCGCTGACGACGCCACATACTGGCCGCTGTGCCGCAACGGGCCCCGTCCGATCCTTTCCTCGCTCCATGACCAATAGGGGAAAGTTCGGAGACCGGAAGTGAGTAATCATAAAAAAAGACTAAAAAGATTTCGAGGCCCGAGTCCGTTGTAGCCATGGATTCGGTACGCGATGAAACCATCAACCCTTGGGGCTGTAGATGCATCCAAATCGGGTTCATTCCGACAGACCCGTTGATCTGGATTGGATTTTCTTGTCCCGGTCGGTATGGGCCATCCACCGTGTTTAGGACGGGCCTAAATTCCACCGTCCGAACACCTGACCGAAATAAGCTCATGGTGCCACCTTCCCGCGCTTTGATCGTCTGAGTGGAACCTTGTCTTCCAGAGAGTCTTCGACACTCTTCCTCTTTTTTACTGGCGCTGACTGCTTGGGCTTCGACGTAGTCTTAACGGAAGTTGAAGGGGAGTCTGGGGTAGGCTTCGGAATAGAACCCTCTTGTTTGAGGAGTACATAGGCCACTTTCTCGACCTCCATTGCCCCGACACCAAGTCTTTTCAGGAGCTTACTGGCCTGAGAGTCGAGATGCTCATAATCCTTCATGCTGTACTTGAGTGAAGCCTTTTGACCCTTATTGCACAGCCAGTAATATGCTTCGTCTGAGAAGAAAAGGACTTTTTGAGGATAGTGAACTGCGAGGATAAGCGAGGCAGTGGCAGGGCCAATGCCCTTCATTTTGGTTAAGATATTCAGCGCAGCTGAAAGGTCAGCCATGTCTCGGTAGTTGTCGATGGCTTTCTTAACGGTGTCCTCGACAGCGGAGGAGTCGTTCGATGACACGAGTTTCATGAGCGTCGGGCGAAATTTCCCGTGACGACTGTAACAATAAAGTTTGAGCAATCGATGTCGTTCCAGTCACGAAAGCAACGAACAGTATGTGGCCTGGGAATCAAGCACTTTCAACGCAACGCTGCAACGGATGGTCTGAACCGAAGCCCCGCGTGTCATACCAACGGGGACAACGGTATAGAGGGGAGTTTATGCACTCACAGCTTCCAGTCAACGAGACATTTGACATCGTCATGATTCATGGCTCGTTTCGGCCCATCCTGCGAAAAGAGGGCCGGGGCGTCAACAAAACGAAACTGATCAAGTTCTTGCAGGGTCTTCTGGCCCGCCTTGGCTACACGGGGATTGTCAGGTACTTTGCCGACGGCATCTTGGAGATGAGGGGAGGCCGCGACCAAGGGCCTACTTACCACCTTTGGAGGTTGAGATGGAATCGATAAGAAGATCATAATTGGCAAGCAGCTGTCGGAACTCTTCGCAGGACATGTTGTCTGGAGAGGCAGACTTAGCACTAGCCATGCTGCTACGCGTCGTCGAAGGACAAATGCTCTGGGCGATGGCTGCTTGTGTGCTTGAACTTACTTCCTTGCAAGTTGAGAATTGCAATGGAAACAAGCTCTGACAGATACTTGTGGTGGCTAACGTTGGCTGAAGGACGTTTGGAAGACGAACTAGCTCTTGTACAGGCAAGCGTGCGCCTCGATGATGATGCTGCGACGCGTTCTAGGTGCGGAAAGCTACATGCAGAGAAGAGCCAAGTATCGAATCCTTGAACGTGTGGAAGCTGCACCCTCTATCACGAAATATGGGTCCGCGAAACGGAACAAGGCCGGGCGAACGCCAGACATGTGAAAGGAAAGGAAAAGGATAGGATGAAACGGCCGGCTCCAGCCCGGAAACCAGTAAAATCCGGCCTCCGGGCTTAGGTTTTGGTTGTCATGTCGGTGTTGGTAAAGAAACGTCCCCTCGGTGGAGGCAGCCACTAGAAGCCCGGAGGGCCCGTGCCCAAGACAGTCTGGAATGCAGATCCATGCAAGAGCAGCTACGGGGTCATTGGAGGAGAGGGGAGGGGAGGGAAAAAGTTGTCAGTCTGCGCCCGCTTTAGACCGGTTCTATTTTCCCTCCTCCCAAATCTCACGAACACTTCCGACTCTTGCGCATATCAACAACCGTCTTCACACACCATATACACACTTCGGTTCTACTCAACAAGACATTCAAGATGGGCAACGTATGTCAATCACACTCTGCACTTCCTTCACCCCACCGCCGATCAGGGTCCGGTGGAAACCAAATTGAGGGGCGGGCCAATGCTGACAACTCGGATTACAGGGCGCAAAGGCTCAGCAGAAGCGTGATCGCAACGCCAAGGACGCGAAGCCCAAGGGCTCCCAGCTCAAGGTGGTAAGTCACTGACTTCTCGTCCAGACTGCATCGCATTCTGAACGACCGTCGCTAACCATCCCGTACACAGAACGCCGCAGCAAAGGACATTCAGTGCCAGATCTGCAAGGCCACCTTCCTCAAGACCACCAAGGCACCCGCGTAAGTTGTATCGCCCCTTTCTAGACAATCTAGTGCAATACTAACGGTACAATCATCGCCTAGTCTGACCGAGCATGCCGAGAACAAGCACAGCAAGGGACTCCCCGACTGCTTTCCCTCTTTCGTTGCCGCATAATGGGGAGAAAATTCGTCCTTTGAGATACGGTGGAGTTTTCGTGAGCAGTGTGGCGAGGAGTTGTGGCAAAAATCAGCGGCACGCGGACCCGGGGGGAGGCGTGGTAGGTCGAGTCGAGTCGGGGCATTCAGCGAAAGGCGTAACATTGGAATATTGCTCTCTTTAATACTGGAATACAGAACGAGCCTATAAGTACCCATTCGTTATGAGTTTGTACGTGACACTTGTTGTTCGATTACAGAGCCCTCACCTTGAGCCACTTCATATCGATCGTTCGTACCATGGCCTCCACACGTCAACTAGGCCGCTTTGTGCGCTACAGTCTCCATTTTCAGGAACATGGAGGACTCGGCGGCTGGATGCCAGCTCGCCCTCGCAAGGCTTCGGGTGAAGCTGTGCTGTCTAGCTACACAAGGGGCGGACACCCGCCTCTTAATGAGCTGGCACCGCAGTCGAAGACACCGCAGGAACCCCTCTCTCGCTCCCTTCTGTTGCCGCTGCGGTGGCCCTCGCCTGTTCCTCCCTGATTGCAGCCAAAATGTCCGGATACCACCGCTCCCCGACATCTGGGTGACTCTTGACCCGATTCCTCAACGTCGCCTCGCCAAGCGTCTTCGCGACCCCGCCCTTCCGGAATGTAAACTCGACGTCGTCCAGCCTCGCTCCGCCGTTTTTCTCCAGCACCGCCCTCCTCTGCTCCTTGATTTCCTCCGGCACCTGCCCGACGCCCACGGTCTCCAGGTCCTCGAACTCCGCATCTCCCTTCACCCCCTGGAAGAACGGGATCGAGAACCGCGCCCCCTGCCCGGCGGGCGGGCTCAGCACGCGGTGCGTCGTCGACACGCACACATCCTGCGTGAGCGCCTCCAAGCCCTGTCCGATGGCCACCACCAGCGTCCCCTCGACCGGCGGCGCGTCGATCCATTCGCCACGAACGTTCTGCACCTGCAGCCCGCGGTGGTGGCTTGCCTGCAGTAGGTAGCTGCTTAGCATGCTATCCTTGTGCGGGCCAACGCCCTGGCCCTGGGCGGCCGGGTCGGTGATGCCGAGCTCATGCAGATCTGGATACTTTACGACCTTGAGCTTGTGCTGCTGGTTGGCGTCAAAGTATTTGGAGAAGGCGGAGGGCGGGAGCTTGATGGCCTCGGCGATTAGGGAGGTGAAGGCGATGGAGACCTTGCCCATGTGGTCCATGTACTCGGTAAAGGTGGCACGGAAGCCGGGGATAACGGCTTCGGAGGGCCACTGGTTCGGAGCCAGAAGGTTGTAATCTGTAATATTGTTATATAATCGATTATTAAAAGCTCATATTGAATCATATTTAGGGGACAGTATCATACAGAGCGGATCGTTGGGCCCCGGTATTGGATGCTCCGTAGAGAGATCGATCTGTTCCCGGTGGTCTATCTTGCCTGCCGTGATCTCGGCCGAGAGTTGAGAGTATCCCAAGAAAGACTTGGCGTTCTTCATCTCAATCTTCATTCTGCGAATAGCCGTTAGTCTAATTCAACTCGGGTTCATCCCCGAATAAGGAGCTTACGGTACTTTTCCTCAGTCGGGATGTCAAAGAAGGCCTTGCCTTGCATGATGACTCTCTGAAACAGATCATCGGGGATGCCGACATTCTTGAGATATAAGAAGCCGACTTCCATGAGTGCCTGGCGGAGGTCTTCGAGGAACTGGGGTTTTGTCTTGGGGTCCTGCGCCAAGGCGAAGTCAAGAATCGGAATCGAAGTAAAAGACATGGTGTCTCACAGTGATTGTCTCACTAGTGGATACAGAAACTCGACGGCCACGCTATGGAATAAGACGACTCGAGGAGTGTAGGGTTTCTTCCTATTCTTCACTAATATCTCGCAGAGGCCGTTCAGTGATATGATTTAGAAGAAGAGCAACAGGTTCGTGATATGAACACACTGCTGTTAAGTAAGCCGATACCTGGGCTCCCAATGAAGTGACAGACCTCGGGAATGACGTGCTTCGGCGGCGGGGCTCGGCGATCAGTCTGCCCCGCACTTCGGCGCCGCGGGAACCCCTCCTTTCTGATGCACGCCGGATCATGATCCCCATCTGTCCTACAAATGTGGCGCAATTCAAAATGCTTTTACATTCTTCTTCTATTATCGGGTATAATGCACATAGATTGACAACTTTTGTGTGTTGTAGCCGTTTCATGACCCCAAAGGCTTTGTCGCCAACAACCCCGTAACCTTGTAGAACATGTCCTCGACAGAGGGCATGGCGAACGCCGGTGCTGCGTCAAACAACTCTGCCAGCTTCTGCCTATTGATGACGGCCGGCTGGGCGTCGTCGTCGTCCAGATCCATCTCGTCCCCGTTGGCAACGTGCTCTTCTTGCTCATTGTCGCTGGCCATATCCTCGTCCTCGATAGTGTCGTCAAGAATCGCGTCCGACGAGACGGGCTCGCCGTCTAGCTGCATGTCCTCCAATGGCCTTGATAGCACCACGGATGCGGGGTCCGTAGCCTCGGCGATGGTCCAGAGCTGCGCGGCATCATCGACCGCCACGAATCCGGACGAGTTGCCAGCGGAAACGAGACTGGTGATGCGATGAGGAATGCGCCTCACGCAGAGCAACTCAGGCTCCTCAGGCTTGAACACGGCAAGCTGGGATGCTTGACCGCCGGGCACAACGACGGCAAAAGTTCTCGACTTGCGGTCGATTGCCAAATGGCTAAACTCCTTCACTGCCGCGGCATTGCGACCGCTTGGCAGCTGAATGCCATATTGCAGCTCGTCGGCCACTACATCGTACACTCTCAGGTCGTCAGAAAGGGTGATAATGTAAGGCGAGAGGACCTGCAAGCGGCGAATGTGTCCCTTCCATAGGTTCTCCAGGGTTAACCTGATTTCGCCAGACTTGGTGTCAATCACATAGACGGCGCCATCGTTCGAGCTGCCAAATGCGACGAAAAGTGTCGAGCCGTCCTCAGAAAAACACAGGCTGCCGCTGCGCTCGCTTGTCGTCTCTCCCGCAAGGGCAAGCGCATCGGCACCCACATTGCTACCGAGACCTACAGCCAAAGAGCACGACCATGAATGCAGGGCCTCACCAGTAGTGTCCTTGGAGGTGAGTCCATCTTGCTGTCTTGTCCTCGACTGCCATATGCGCGCCATGCCGTCGTCTCCGAGAGTAGCAAACCTGTTTGTTGCGTGATCTGCCGCAAGCGCAAGAACGGTCTCCGGCCGGCTGGTGACGTGCGGGCTGTTAATCCTGGAAGATAGAGCAAAGTTCTCCTCACCGGCCGTAGCAGACCAGAACTTAAGATAAACCTCGCGCCTTTCTCTCACAAACTGCTCACGCGCTTCTGGCGCGACCTTCTCGAGGTCACGCTTGGGCGGTTGCCAATCGTCGACTGTGGCCAGCCAGTGGCCGTCTTGGGAAAACGCGACGTGGGTGATGCGGGGTTCTGAGATAGGATTTCCCTTTGATGTGATATTGACATCTGTTGGCTGAGTTCTTGCTAGAGCCTGCTTTGAAATGCTGCGGAATGACTCCATATCGAACGACTGCAGCAGGGGGGCCGACTGGAGCTCACCTGCCAACATCGCCTGCTGACCCGTACCGGTGCATACGTAAAGCCTTGATGGCTTTGCAGGGTTCAGAGCAGCAGGGACAGGATGCCGCACTTCGTCAGACACTGACCAAACACGCTTGACGAGCAAGTCTTTCGGCGTTGATGTAAATCGCGCAGCCGACTGGATACCGGAGATGTACGTTGATGGCTTCATCTCTGAGGTAGAGAGAACCATGGCAGAATTGTCATCCAAGTGAAGGGCGTAAGATGCACCTGTGGGCGACACAGCAATGTTCTCGATGCTTCCCGACAGATGGGGGAGATGATTCATCTTTCCGGTGTCCATCTGCCAGAGTACAAGGACGTTTTCTGAACCACCAGAAATCATGTAGTGGCCTAAAAAGTAGATTAGCTTCCGATCACCATGCCAACTCGAATGGGTAATACTAACCATCCTTCGACCACTTCAAGCTGTGCACAGCCCTCCTGTGCCAGTGGTATTTGCGGCCCTGCAGACTGTCCTTCTTTGACTTCGGCGCGTTGATATTCTGCAGTTTTCTGAGGATGTCGTTGTAGAAATATATGGCACCCCGGGCACCGCCTGCAATGAGATCAAGGACCAAACCGTCCTTGTTGTTCTTGACTCGGATGTCGAGGGAGCAGACAATATCGGCCGTATCGAAGGTGAAGAACTCGCACTCAAGGCTCACGTCGGTCTTGGAGACCTCGGGGGCCACGGTTCCCACAACCAGACCCTCTCTCGTAGCTCCGACAATGGTCTTGCCGTCAGCACTCGAGTGGAGTAGATGGATCCCTTGATCAACCTGCTTCGACGTGAAGAGGACCTCGGAGGTGGGGTTGGTGAAGTCGGGGCCAAAGTACGCCACGATTTCGCTTCTCGATTGCTTTTTCCCCTCGGAGACGTAGATGACCTCTGTCTTATTCTTGGCTCCCTCGATCGCCACCACAGACATGTCAAGCGCCGTTTGCGACTGTGTCCGGAACTCATCATAGACCGTGGTTCCCTTCTTCCAATTGACGCGCCAGACACGGCCATCGGAGCACGCCACCCAGAGGAAATCGGGCTTGACTTGGGATTGCCGCGTGGCCACAATCGTGGGAGCCGAAACCTTCTCGGAGTATGTGTATTGGACCACTGGCAGGGCGATTTTTCGGATCAGGAGGGACTCGGCCACGGAGTAGATTTGCAAGGATGTATTGTAAGTGAGGATCAGGTACCTGGTCTAATGTTAGACAAGCGGGCGATGATACCATCATCGGGTGCACCTACTTCTCGTTCTCCGCGAATATGGGGTCAATATCAGCCATACGGCCTCCCATTGGCATAGAAACCTGCCATCCTGCTTCTTGGGCCTCGGTGTTTCCAAGCTTGACAAGCTCACTTTCGATTTGGTCGTCCGTGAGGTTCTTCTGGAGCTGCGACAGTACGTTTAAAGCATCGTCGCGAAGGTCGCCTGCGTCTGTCTGCCCGTTTTTAAGGGTTTTACCAGGGCTCTGTTTTCCCCTCTGGCGCAAGCGTTTCGCTTGCCCGTCCCTCTCGTTCAGTTCTCTTTTCCTCTTCTTCGCATCCTCCCGACTTATCGGGGTCGACGGACCGGCCATTGTATTTTTGTGTTGAACCTGGCGAGTAAACGAATCCGATGTCTTCGTATGTTTCCGGGCGGAAAGGCAGGGAAGGGAAGGTTTGCGGCCTTAGAGGTTCGTTCGGCAGTCTGGCTTGGAATTCCTGCTCTGTTCGCACACATACGACGACCCTTCGCCTTTTCCTGGAAAAAAAAGTTCGAGAGCCCAGAGAAATTTTGGTCCCGCTCCATTGCTGGGCCATGCAATTGGCGGAGCTCCCCCACAATCCTTGGTGATAAGATAAGGGACGGAACATTCACGGACCGACAAATTTTCTTTTCGCATCGCACCTTCCCGACCCGAACAGTAGAAGGGTCCAAAGTTTCTTTGACGGCGGCGACGATTTGCAAGCGACGACGGTAGCAACAATCACGACACGGTCAACATCACAAACCTAGCCCGAGCTTTCTCGATCTGCAGAAAGTCTTCACATCGAGATAATACGTCAAAATGATTATTCCCGTTCGCTGTTTCTCGTGTGGAAAGGTCAGCCTGCGGAGCGTTTGTCTTGGCCCAACCTGGGCACTAACTTTTTCTCTAGGTCACGGGCGACCTGTGGGAGCGCTACCTGAAGCTCATCGACGACGGCATTACTGATGGGTCAGTCGCCTGCGCTCATTTCCCCATCCTTGGCCCTAGCATACTAACGTGTATTGCGATAGCGATGCGATGGATCAGTTGGGCCTCAAGCGTTATTGCTGTCGTCGCATGGTCATGACCCACGTCGACCTTATCGAGAAGCTCCTGAAGTACGCATATTGTCGAATCCTCGCTATTTGGCGCATTGAAAGGCTTACAACTACAGATACACTCCCGATGGTCGCAACGAGAAGAAGATGTCCCTGAACCCGTAAACTCGCCCATGAAAGGATGATACGAATGGAGTTCTGGAATTAAGAGCATTGCAAGGCGTTAAGGAACCGCACCAGAGCAGAGTTCCCAGTGTCAAGAAAAGACGGTCGGTTACTTGTGCCATGGAAGACCAACGATATTACCCCGCGCCCTTCAGATCGCTACCACAGATTTCTCGCGTTCTTTGATCCCGTGCTCGACTGCGACAGCTGCAGTGGAGGCGTTGCAGAGTATCGCACGGGTGCAACGGTCATTCTAGTCGTTGGCTTGGCAGATTTCGGCATGATAAAGATTTCTGGGAGGTCGACCGAGGGCAATGAAGGACAGTTGTTGCGAAAACTGGTCGCCGCGACTGATTAGAACGCGTGTCTTGCCAAGACCGTGACAAACAAAGCCCCGGGCCGTCTTGCTAGTATTGTTCGCTAGGCAGCTACGGCTTTCTTACTAACTATCTGCATTACGATACTACGATAGTGATGTGAGCATATGAGACAATCCAAGAGACAAATATTGGAATATGCAGCAGCGGTACGTTTCAAATGGCGGCTATAGTGTGTTAGTCAGACTGCCTGTATTCCGGAAGGCAGGGCAAGATCTGATGTGACGATCGAGGCAAAGATACAACCAGTCCACACAACGCAGCTTCCTGCTAGTCGGCCCAGCTTGTATCGCTGACTGCTAATCCGTTTTGTTGAGCCAGTCATGTAACAGGTGGCAGAGGAATGCCGAGTGGCACATACAGTATATCCCTCGGGCCGAAGAACCTCATCCACCTCAACATCGCCCAAGTTCACTTTGAGGGCCAAGAGACGATGACTTTGCGCGATTGCGGCAAACTTTGGCGAATGAGCGAAAGAGGGCGGCTCGGCTCTTCTTGAAAGCCTAATATGGCTCGAACCATTGCTGCCCAACATTTTCGTCGACCAACACAACATGTACGGTATACTTTGCTACATTACGGCGACCCATTGCCTTACCGACTTAGGTTCTCACGGGTTGTAGCACATGTGAGTTGTAGAATGAGGGGTGCAAATTGATGTACACGTCGTAGTCCAACGGACAGCTTCCGCACCCGAGGGTCTGGGAATGGTGCGGCGGTGCTCTTGCCGCGAGGTGCACCAACATGATGTCTGGAATAGGAAGATATCCGCCGAGCTTCATTTCGTGGGCATTGATGATTTGCCGAATGGACGCAGGGGTCTCATGCACCCAGGCGTGCTATATGGCGTTCGGGGTCCGGGGATACGTCTGTTGGATCGACGCAAAGCTGTAAACAAACCTCTCGAGGACAGGTAAACTTTGGTGGATCAAGTTCCACAGTCCCTAGGCATCGAAGCCGCCGTGTTGATTCAAACGCAACAGTTGAAACGGGCTTTCCGCGATAGGGCGTAAATTGGCGCGCAGGTGCACTAGTGAATGGTGGTCAGCGTTCGATATGCAGAAAATCATAGCCCCATATCGGTTGCACGAGGGCAGGCGATGCCTGATCCGGAACCCCGAATCGTGTATTTCATGGAAACGCTTGTTGGCGCCTATGCGCCTTAGCCTGCATGCGAGATGCAGTCGTGGCTGCAGGGATGCCTTTCGACAAGCGGAGGCAGTGTTTGATACATGATCGCAATGTCGTGTATTGACGGATGGGTCGGAGAATCCTGATCGACGGCAAACGAAGGTCTGCTGCTGCTGCTGCTTGTCTGTGGCCACATTCCTTGGTCGTCAGAAGGAAGCGGGTATAATGTCTGAAGTTTCGATATCGTATCTGATGCTTCTCGATGTGGAGGGGTGGTGGAAGAACAAACCGGCCCCCTATCGGCGATCAGCAACTGGTCCGGGCACGGATTCCTGGGTCTTGGTTCCCTGGAGCTGACACCCTTAGTGTAGATAGAGGTAGATTATTCCCAGAAGTTCTGTTAGCGCTGTGATGAGTGGAGGACACCTACATAAGATCCAGGTTCATAACCGCGCTAAAATTATGGCTGGGACATGATTCTTCACGAGATGGACGAGGATGCCAGTGAACCTATAACCACCAGCGCTGGTGGGCATTTCAAGCAGAGAACTCATGAGGCATGTGCAGACTAGCTCACTAAGCGAGCTTTCTCAGGTAAGGGGAACGCCTCCGGGACATCGATGCTATAGGGTAGATAGGTGTGTTTTTTTAAAAAAAGAAAAAGAAAAAGAAAAAGAAAAAAGGTTAGGCAGGTGTTCCAACTAGCCTATATCTCCGTGGCTTAAGTCCAAGAAGGTGAATAATATATTGGAACGCTGATATACTCTGTTATAAGCTGCCGTGACCGGGAGAATTTCGGAGTTAGGGTTGTGAGATGGCAGCGAAGATTCGTCTTGACTTTGAGTTGCGACTTGAGCACAACCAACGGTGAAGGGTAGGTACCCACTGTGCCAGTAGGAATCGATGCCGTTCACGAGCCCGAGTGGCCTGTCAGACCCAAGGGTAGCGAGCGTCTCAGTGATGGCTGATCAATAGAGGGATGGGGCCGCTTGCGGTTGAAACGGATACCAACAGCACCGCGTCGCTGCTCTCTCCGACCTCACCTGAGGTCATATTAGAGTGGTGTTTTCCCTTCGTAGTGCTATCAGCCGCCTGCTTGTATTATACAAATAATTTACCACTTTGAAATGAAGTGGGAAACGAGAGATCAATGGGGCATCTAGGCGTGTGTTGTAAAGTGACCTTTACAGATGGGCTGACTCCCCACGTGTAAGTACGCTTCCATTCCTCCCTTCTTATTGTTTTGTACCCATTTTACACGCCAGAGTCTTTCTTTCTCATAGTAAAATACCAAATATCGGCCTCCATTTGACTGCATGCGCGGCAATAACTTGGGAAATGGCAGACGAGCACGCTACCAGCCTCCTCACCCTACCTACTACCTAAGATGCCTTACCCAAAGGACGGGTACCGCTTGGCCTGGCGCTTCTCGGCTTGACTTGCAACATCAACCGCACGCCGGCTCATTGACAAGGGGAAAGAAAGCATGGCTTTTGTTTATTTGACGACCGACTCGGGCCACCATCTCCGAACCCATGTCAAGTGTCGAGGTCGAGGTCGAGGCCGAGGCCACGCTCGGTTCTGTCACGCTGGAGCTGGCAAATGAGGGTACAAGTTACTTAGACCTTGCCGCAGTCGGCGCGGTAGAAGGTGAACGAGTGCCGTGTGGTGCGTCTGTTTCTCTTCCACTTCTGCTTCCAACAGTTCATCCCCGCTTTGCACCAGGCAAAGCCAAGCCAAGCCAATTCATCCACAGTCTGACCAAGGCGGTAAACATGCCCCGACCGGGACTGGCGGGAGACATGGCCACGACGACAGACGGGCAGCGCCGTTCACAACCATACCTGCGCGTTGCGGCCCCCAAGCACACACACACATGGGCATACACAAACAATTCCAGACATAATAAGCTCCTTTAGGTAGCGTGACTACGTTCCTTCGTCTTCAATTACACGGCATCCTCGGATTGGCCCTGAACACATCCTGAACGTTCTGGGCATACTTTGTTGCAGGGCAGACGAGCAGGAACGCGATTGGAAGAGGGTTGCGAGAGATATCCGTCCATCCCTCCTTGGTGCGCGAGCAGCCACACGGCAGGCAACCAAAAGGAAGACCAAAGTCCCCGTTCAGATAGTTCGAGGATGCAGACGGCGGTTGATACCACTGAGCCCGGCACACTGGCTCAGCCTAGACACACTTGGCCCCTGCCGGCCGCATTTTCTTCGATATACTGGTGAGGCAGATAGAGACCTATTCTAGTGCAAGTTGAGAACTCGGCTGAAGCGGGAGTCGGATTGCATACCGGAACTGCTCCTCAGATCGTCACATTCATTCGGCCTCTCGATTTCCTCCCATTCGATAGTTTATCACAGCCGAGCTGGTTGGTTGTCTGTCACCCAGGGTCAATCCCTCAGGCGTTCACAAAACTTGAACCAGGCGGCCACCTACCTACCTACCTACCTACCTGCCTACCTCTCTAGTGATCTTCCTTCTCGAGAGCCAAGGCATGTCCTGCCCTACGCTACCTCATTCCTCCACTCGATCGAAGGTACCAGAGAAACAAAGCCCTGCCATCCGCTCTCCCCCTGCCCTGTGCCATTTTTCTGGCCGGGCCTTCCTTGCATCTTTCGACCCTCCCCTCCTCCGAACTTAAGGTCGACCCCTCCATGGAAAGCGGGCCCCCTTGGCTACCTGCCCTGTGCAGGGATGCATGTGGTTCGCTGAATGAAGTGGTGGGGTCCACCTCTGCTAAGCGCCGACGCCTGTCTGCTTCATGCAGCTCACAGCTTGACGACGCTCTCTTCGTCCACCGGCACCACCTTGTGCTCACCTCTGACTGGTCCAACCCGTCAGAAGGTGCGCTGCGAAGACCATGAGAGAAGGAAGACGCGCAGCTGCAGCTCTTACTGGCCCATCAGCGCACTCGACATGCTTGCCAGTGCTTGCTTGCCTTAGCCGGGGTCAGGTTCGCGGAGTGATGGCTAAGGGCAAGCTGGTGGTTGCGTCCGACCGAGAGAGGAAGAGCGCGCAGTCAAAGGCGAACCAGATGACGGATTGGATCCTGCCTCGCGGAGCTTCCTCTCTCCCTCTCCCCCAACGCCTCGGCCTTGTCGAATTCAACCACTCCTTCTGCTAGCGTTTCCCCCTTCGTCCTGTCGGATCTCTTACTTCCCTAGCAGAACGGCCAGCGAACTCCACAACGATCTTCTCTGTTGGCCGCCTTCTGATACCCTACCATGTGAGGTGCCTGTTCATAGGGCGGGGCCATAGTCCATCAGCCATTCAAACAACACCCAAAACTCAGTCAGACTTTGTCTTGCTCGTTGACCGACTTGAAGAGCGACCATATGACGACGGCTTCTGCTTCTTTCTCTGCAAGTACGACGCATTCTGATCGTTAACCGAAGCGTCAAACTTCTTTTTGTTTGCCTGTACAACCAACCTGCCCACGCTGTGCCGCCTGTGCCTGCCTGTACGTGGATGTTAACGCCCACGTACTAGCACCATCTGTCTGTTCTCCGTCCTTCTGTCAGATATTATTTCTCCTCCTCGAGACCTAATAGACGACGAAGCCAGCGGTGGAGCCGTGCTTGTCACCTGTTTCGTCGAATCTTAGCCGCAGCTCTTCTCAACCGCCCCTCCTACAGCTACATTGCAGCATAATCGCCGACGCGCGCTGCTCAGCCTGATTTCGTTCTCTGGCGTCTTTGCGCCGTATCGCTCACCCACTTTCTCTTTTTTTCTCTCCCTGCCTCTCCCACCTAGGCGGTACCGCTCGCGTTGCCCGCAGGTCGAGCCAACGTATCTACCCCATAAATCGATCCTTCACTCACCCGAACCGCTGTTTTTGCACCCCTGCTACTTGGCCAGCAAGCGCAGACCCGCCGCGACGCAGCGGATCCAAGCCTGGCCCTGTCGATACTTCGCGTGAGCGAGGCACGGGCACGAATAGCCCGGGTCGGCCTGGAGCCCCCCGGCTCCCGCACCATTCGTTGCTCTACGCAGCATTGAGGTAGCATTGACGAGGCACAGCTCCTCTTAAACTGCCCTCCCCACCCTCTCGCTCTTGGGATCCTTCACCTTCAAGCCGGCTGCTGCTTGTCTGGAAGTTTAGTGATCTTCAGGCCGCTATCGACGAGACCTTCCAGCACAGCTTCGTTCCTTCGCCTCGACGGCCGCCAGTATCAAGGCCCCGGCTGAGTCGACAAACAAGCGCGCTGCGTACGATTCGCAAGGCATTCTCCAAATCGGCAGGCACCAACTGCGAGTCTGCTGGACAGCCTTGAGAGCTTCTTGTGTTGTAGTGAAGCCTTCGTTGCCAGTATTCGCGAGCAGTCTCTTGAGCTGATCATGGCACTCGAGGGCCCCCTTCGGTCGTCTATCGGAAGCCAAATATCTAGCTATTCCCATCACAACGACATTTCGATCTCATCTCCCGACAACGGATCGTTCCAGTCTCATTTTGCCAGCATGTAAGCCATCATGCAGATTTTGTACAATTGTCCCTGGACTTACGAATCATTGCAGGTCATCGAACGCTTCAGACCGCTCCAACCCCAACTCCCTCCGACCATCTTCCATTCAAAGGGTCCCGTCAACCAATTTAAACCTCATGAGTCCAAGTGATATTGTTGGTCCTTCGCCTGTAACGTCGACTGGTACGGAAACTACCGAGATCGACGACGAGGAAGCGGACGAAGTTCAACAAGCTCGTACTATGCATACCAACCCAACGCCACATCCCCAGGTACAACCTCTTTTCAGCTTGCGAAACGCGGTCAGCGTAACTAACACGGTACAGCTCATGATGCTCTCTACCAATATTCCCGACGATGTGCGGCAGAGTAATAGCGACGAGGCTGTCTCGGTCATACATGCGCCAGAAAGCTTCCACAGCTGGGTAAGCACCAAGAGACCGAGATGACTGTGGCAGTGATTGATTATAAAGCAGGTTTCAGCGGAGCCGACGGTGAAGCCGGAACAGACCAGCGAACGGTCGTCACCCAAAACCGATACAATGAGCCTTCCTTCCGTGACCGAGAATGCAATCAAGGTATGCCTATCGGTGTCGTCGCCTAGCGCAAGTTGCTCACTGAAATGGAACAGTCTAGGTCACCTGGGCTGCCTACTCCTCCTCCCCTCTCGACCGACATCAGACCTGTTAGATACAGCCTAGACAGCGCAACACCCCGCGCCCAAGACCTGCAAGATATGCTAAATGAGTCTTCCCGGCTCAGGTCTAGCAGCACAAGTAGCCTTGAAAGTGCGTTCAGTGATCTCTACTTTACTGAACAGACTAACACAAAACAGAAATCGACGAAGGTAGAGAGGTAGAGACCGATGCCGAAAACTACGACGACGATGACGACGAGCCCTTCACCCCCCCCGCTCTGCTCCGAGAAGATTCGGAGATTAGAGCGTTACGAACCGCCCTCCAGGAGTGTTGGACTCTTTGCAACACTCTGGCCAACCTGAGCTCAATTCATCGTACAAGAATGTTCAACAGCTCGGGGACACCTGACGCACACGAAAAGGCATGGATGGCATGCTGGAAGCTGTGCCAGCGTTTGTATGACAATAGAGACGAGGACGTTTACGATCACCACGTGCGAGAGAACCTTGATCTATGTCGCGACTTCTGCCAGTCACTCTTCGATGTCCGGCAAAAGAAGGATGAAGTCGCCGACTCTGTCTTGCGGGTTAGTTTCGAACTCAACAACCAGTATGTTTGGCCCTGAAATATAACCATAAGAGCCCGGGGCTGACCACATAACAGTCTATACAGCGCTCAGGATATTCAAAATCTACCAGAGCCCTTCCGCGAGCGAACTTTGGATTTCTACATCACTCTTTGTCATCGGCTGATGAAGCAGCGAAGCGAGCTGGCCGATGAAACCGACTCTTTATTGAAGGCATGTTGGTCTCTTGCCGAAATGCTATTCAGCCTAAGGCAGAACAAGCGCGATGGCAGAGCGCCCGATGAGGAGCTCCTGGGCTCGGCTGTTCAGGCCTGCTGGGAACTTTGTGATTTGTTCAGAGATGGGTGGACTCAGGTTCGACCAGACCGAAACACCCCACGACCGAGCCAGACCAGCTTTTTTGGTCACCAACAACAGTACGATCAGCCCTCTCGTGGCGAGAGTAGAGCCTCAAACCGCTCTTCCTATTCGAAGAGAGAAAGCCACAAGGGTCTGTCGGAAGAACGACCCCGAAAACCTCCACCAGTCCCGGAAACTCCCGTTACAGAGTTCGAAGACACGCCCATTTCCCCTGAGAGCTCCTCGCCTCGGGCCCCAAACATTCTCGTTCTAGGCACAACGTCAGACAGCGGACGTGGTCGATGGTCGAGCTCCGCTTCACAGCTTTCAAGCTATTCGCAGAGTAGCAACAAGACCTCGAGTACGGCGACGACCACAACGGCTGGAGAAGACAGCAATAGCGGCCGCATCAAGGCCTTGATCATCAAAGCGGCCATGAACGTCGGTTTTGCCCGAGACCCGGCCCTCGACAGCAAGGCTGAGAAAGCAGCCCTACAGGCCTTCGTCAAGCACATGCCCACTGGGTCATTCGGGTCTCTGCCGGCACACTCGACCCTTCTGCAGCACTACAAGAACCTGGTCCAGGCTGACTCGTCGTTCCGGGGATCATCGCTGCTTCCAGCCCGTGGGAAACGCATCTCGGCGCACGATATGGCCAAGAGTGTTCACTATATGTGCCAGAGGGCCACCCAGTATGGCTTCTTGCGCGACCTCTATAAGCTGGTGTTCGGCTTCCCACCGGAGGAAGGTGAGTCAAGGAAGTCGACCACGATCGCCATTTAAACATCGCCAATCCACCTGATTTCCTTTCCCCTGCTTCTCTCGACTCCCAGATATTGTCAAATGAAAATAGAGTCATCATTCTTATTATGATCTATAAAGAAAGGGGAAAGGGCGGGCATTGTTCTTTTTTTCATTTATTAAAAAAAGTTCCATGATTCTACCTTTTTCTTGACGAAATCTGGCTTGGAGAGGATTTCTGCATGACTTGAACGCACAACACACGCATCACGCAAACGCATGGCAACACTAGGGGCAAGTGCCTGTCTCTTCATTTTCATCGTACTAGATACCCACCGTGGACGGACTTTGGGGGCGCTGCGAGATTGGAATTTCGAAGGTTAGAAAATCACCTTATCGTTTCTTTTATGATCTCTACCTGGAGGTTGGGGAGGGATGGCTTGGAGGACTCACTCATTCTTAACGCGTGTCACAATGGAGGTTTTGTGGCCCTATCTGGAAATGGAAATTATACATTATAGCCCGCGTCGCAAGGACAACCAATGAACTATCTATCCATGTGAAAATTCCCATAACCGCCGGCCTTCCTCATCTGTATGGGGATCTTGAAATTTATAAACTTGTGAACTCATGGCTGAACTTGTGTGTTCTAGGTGCACTTTGGCGAATGCTCTGGTTTGTTGTCTATACTGATCCAGCCTGATCGGGACAAAGTAGCCCTATGAAGTAAAGGTGTGTGAAGTTGAGGGATAAAGTGCAAGCTGTGTGTGCTCTTACTCGGAGTGGCCCGATTGAGTCCGGTCATCAACTCCCTGTGCTTAATCAACACCATGAGTGAGATAAGCACCAGGAAGGAGATCATCTCCAAGAAGGGGATCAAAACTCCAGTCAATGTCGTCGTCAAAATGGTCGAGGCCGTCAAGGAAATCGAGACCATTATTAAACCCTGACTGTTCTGGGACCGCCATTACTTCGGAGCCAGACTGTCCCAGATTCTCGCCGTCCCATACATAACCACTGGTATCCGTTTCGACGATAGCATCTCCAACGAATGCCTCCAAAGAATCTTGAACGGCCTGGTTCATCACAGGGTCGTGTGCCTCCAAGAGCTGCGGAAAGTGAAATGAGTTGCTGGCTTGGTGATTGTTTTGGGGGCCGAACTCCATCTTGTTGAAAATCTGGCTCCATGCTGCATCTGAAAACATGGAACTTGTGTCTGTGGACACCATTGTTGACTGTGTTGCTGTAGACAGTGAAGTCGGAACTGAAGTCGGTCCTTGGGCCGAGGTGCTGTTCGTGCAAGCGTTGTTGTCCCAAATCTGGGGTATCTGAAAAGATGAAGGCATCGTCGGGGAGTCCTTGGGCTGGGTCTTGTGGCCAACACCTTTGATAAATTGGCTGCATGGGAAATGCTTGTTCTTGTTACCATCGGCGTAGGTGTCGTCAGCCTTGTCTGAGTCAACCGGAGCGGCAGGTTCTTCAGAAGGGGCAATATCGCAGAAGTTCGTGGTGCCCTGTTCCATGCCTTGATGTTTGAGGTTGTCCATCGACATTTGGGCTGGTTTAGCCGTAGGAACCTGAGCGAAATTGTTATTTTTCAACTCCAGTCTTGCCCGTTTCGCCTTGGGTCCTTCCATGAAGTCAGGGGCAGTATCAGGCGAGGACGATATATCATTGAAACCATCAATAGGAGGCATCTGTCTTGCTGCAGAACTCGGAAGCATTTCACCAGGATCCTCGAGCTGTCTCTTCTGGGTTGTGGAGGGATACAGAAGTTTGTTGTAGAAGTGCAGAACAGGCTGGTAGCCGTAAGGGGTCTTGTATGCCGTCGGGGCATACTGGTCAAACCAGTACGTTCCAGTTGGATCTGGGGCGCTGACATGTGACTGGTATTGCGGGAACTTCTCACGCTGCAGCTGCGACTCCAACCGCAGCTCAGTAGGTCCCCCCCATGATGGCCTTATCATGGATTTGTTGAGGTTTTCGGAAGGCTTGCTCGTATTATGTACCGGATATTGCAGCTTTTGATGCTCCCCTGGCAGAGACCTTGTATGCTCCCAGCTTGGCTGAGGCATGTGGGGGACAGATGAACGGGGGAGCTCTTTCCCGAGTTGGACATGCTGAGTGGGTTGACTTTGTGATGTCAGCTGATATGATAAAGCAAACGGAGGCTGAGAACCAACTGACCCCTTTGGCGATGACTTGGCCATTTTCCTGTTTCCGCTGCTCTCCGGGAGCTTGCGATTGATGAGCGCCGTACTGCCGAATGGTTATTATTCATTGACAAGTTCTCCTTTGCTCCGTAGCACGACACACTGAAGGAAAACAATGAACTGGAATAAAATTAATAAGAGAGGACCGCACTCACCCGAACTCAGGGTCATGGCCATATTTATTCTTAATGTATCGAAGCTGCGACGCAGAAAGGGATTTGCCGAATTTCTTCTGGTACTCGTAAAGAACGATGTCGCGTTTCTTGTCGGCGAGAACCTGCTCTAGGACGAAGATTATCTGATCCTCGGTGTAAGATATTTGGCCAACCATTTTGTGAATGCTTTGCTGTGATTGCCTGGAATGGGCTGAGTTGGTCAAGTCATTGGATTTGAGGAGTATGTGGCTGCCGAGGCAAGGTTTACGACAGTGGTTGGGAACGAAGGAAGTGATTAGCTTGCCAGCAGATGTCGACATTATATGAAGGCAAAGAAAAATGAGATGGGAGTGGGAGTGATTCACCGCGTGGTTTTGACAGTAGGCCGTTGCAGCGGATACGATTCAGGAAGGTCGGTACATATTTATGCGATGGAAGGAAGGAGCTGCTGCCTTTTTCTAGAGGAAGGCTCAAGACACGCGAGTCCAGATGGAATATGAGGAGGTAATCTACCAATTCGGCCATCCGCCCGTTTACTATGGCGGTGAGCCATGCTCTAATCTAGGGTTATAGATAGGCGTGGTTGCCAGTCATGTTGTCTTTCCCTCCATCTACTATCTAAAGGCATCCTGAGCTTCTCATTTTACGAACAAGCATCTGCAGCCTACACAGGTATGCTTGCTAGTTGCTGTGCTTCGTGCTTGCGCGCAAATATGCCCCACCAACACGTTACATTAATGACTTCTTCAGCCCCACCCCAATCGTCTTGACCATCGAGAGTTCCCTCCTCGAAGCAGACCAGAGGCAGCTCTTGGCGTCCCATGGCATCTCTGAATGATTCCAATAGCAGTTTCGTCGTTTCGTCTCGCAAAGGGACCATTACGATGGCGCGCGCGTCATCTTCAGTCGATAGCTGTTCGGAAAAAGCGCCGGCTAGGAGGCCTGGGTGACAGTCATCGTAGAGCGAATCAGCGGCGAGGACGACCTGTAGAAGATGTAAGCAAGTTGGAACGGTTATGCGGTTCAGTCACGCAAACCTTGAACTGGTTCTTCTTGTCAAACAAGTCTGGGTCAACTTCGTCTTCTCCTGAGCCACCCCAGGTGAGGGCTCCCGCGTCCAGTGACCCCCCGAGCTTCTCCACGGTAGCCCGGTTGGTCTCAATATTGTGCCGCAAATTCGGCATAATATCTGGCAAGTCACTTAAGACAACGTGGGCCTTCCAGAGTGCCGCCGCCGCGATTCCGAGCAGGCCCGTGCCGGAGCCTAACTCCAATACGGACGGCCGAGGCTGGCCAAGTGACTCGTCGAAGAGACGGAAGAGAGCAGTCGAGCCGATAGACGGCAGGCTTTGAGCCAAGACGTACGAGGAGGCCCATGTCTTGAGGCCGAGCGAGTCGCCGGTCAGGGGTGGTTCACGGATGATGAGTTCGAACGTCGGTGTGAGAGCATCTTCCCGGAAGGGCCATCGCCGAGTAATCTCGCCCATGGCTACACTCTGCGTAAGAGACCGGACGCCCGAGTCTGAGAAGCGGTAGTTCTATCTCTCACATACCTGTTCTTCCACAGCGCTCGGCCATTCTGCGACTGGCTTCTGACCAAATCCCCTCCTTCTCATCGTCATTTTTGATCCAGGAGAGACCGCTCTTGATGATGGACGATAGGTACAGTGATACTTCGCGCCGGAAGTAGGACGTTGCCTCCTGCTCATGGATAATGTCTGATCTTCTGCGGTTGTGACTCCAGATCGGGGGGCTGAGTTCCAGTTGCTTCAGTGTGCCGAGTATGTCGTCACTTGACGGTTTCTGCCACATCTGCGGGAAGTCTTTTGGCTCGAGTAACATTGTTGTTGACTAACAAGTGTCTATGTGTAGTTGTCTGTCTTGTATTCGTGGATTTCCCCGGAAGAATGACGAAAGGAAGGGAAAAGAAAGCAACGCCGGAAAAAGAGGCGTGCGCTGTCCGCAAGCCAGAAAAGGAAACGTGCTGTCTTAAAATGGCCGGGAAATTTTCAGCGGCGGTCAAGACTTGCACAAGGACCCCATCACCAAAACACGCCGCGGCGACAGTGGCCATTCCGATAAGGGGCCCTTATCGCCAAGCTACCAAAATCCCACAAAACGTCCAGATCGGGCAGGTGGGGTGTCTGCTTTGGAGGGTCTTTCCCTCCCGAGGAACCGACGAAGCCAGCTCCCTCATTGGCTAGCCTCATTTGCAAGGCTGCCATCAGCCCCTGCGACCCCACGTCACAGAAAAATCGTATATAAAGCTCCAATTTCCACGCAGGTTCTGACTCCCATCTTCTTTTCCCCTTCTTCAAGCACCGTCCTCTTCAACGCTGCGTTTCTATGCTGCAAACGGAGAGATTCGCGCGCAAGCAAGAGTCTCTCATCACTGGCATATGAGAAATTCGGAGTAACTTCTTCACACCACTCACCCAATGTCGCCTGCCTTGTGCGGGATTGACGGGTCTGCCCGCGAGGGCCTGGCGTGACTTCACGTCTGCAATTGGCATCAGAAAAGCAGGGTCCGGGCCGACCTCATGTATATCCTGAATCCCTTCCGGGGGATGCAGTAGAAGATGGGGTTCTAGGACTCGGTGTCCCTATGGGAGAGCCGTTGCGAAAAGATTGTGCAGAGCACTTGAGTGCGATACGCAGCGTCTGGACACTGGCTGGCCTTGGCTGGTCAGGGGCTTGACAATTCAATTCCGATCATTCTGTTGAGGACGGTGCTTCACCTTTTTCCATCATGTAAGCAATGTCTCTTGCGCGATTGCTCTTATGGGTTAAGGATACTACTAACGAATAATTACAATACCTTTTATTAGACTGCCGTTTCACCCGGTGCTTCGCCTGCAACAACACCATTCCCGCGTCGTTGGTCATCAGCGTATCCAGTGCACTGCCGACGTGTCCTCTCACAACCATATTGCCGACTGCCCCATATTAACGACCCCGTACGACGGCTCTGTTGACCACTGTGCTCTGTCTGGTCGCTGTGGCATTTTCTAGTTGCTGTTGTCATCGGGAGCAACATACGTCTTCTCCGCTGCGGGCAGCTTGCCCAAAAGGCTTTTCCACATCACCGATTCGGGATTTGCCGCTGTCCAGGCCCTGTTCAAGTGCCAGATCAAATCTCCACACGCCAGATGATCCATATGGGCTCTCCCACCAAGCTCTACAATTTCCTCGACAGCCTTGGTGATGTTCTTGAATTGACGCTCGATAATGGCGTTCCTTTCGTGAAGGCCATGGACCGAGGGAAGCCTGTCCTTCTCGGCTGATTGGAGATGTCGCAAGCAGAGGCCAATCTGTGCCATGACTGAGTCAAAGTCGGCCGATCTCTCAGCCTGTGCCTCCTCTTGCTTCATCCCCGACTGTACCATGTCACTCCAAATCTTATCCAGCGTGTCTGCGCTGACGAAGCTTTTGACGGCGTTGCACTGTGTTCTGAATTTGTCGTCGATTGTCTTGTAGACATTGTACGCCGTCTCAAGTTGTGCATGGAGCTGGCTCAGCAAGAGTCTGACCTCGATGAGTCGCCGCTCTCGAAGGTGGATTGCAACCTCAGGGTTGGCACTGAGAGGAGACGGGCGTGTGATTGCAAGGGTCTTGTCGATCTGCTTGCCACGGTCGGTCACGTCGCGGCTTCCGTCACCGCCGCCTCCCCTCTCGGTCTGTGTCTGGCCGACTCCCTTCTTCTCGCGACGCTTGCGGTTTTCTGCCAGTGGCGGAACTTCGCGGTCGCTCGGACCGGGGTCCATGAATGGCGGGATGTCGCGGTCAGTGCGAAGCGGGCACGCGGTGGACCAAACGATGTCGCCGGGTAACGCCGCATAGAGATCCTCGATGCGGTAAGGCGAAAGCGACGAAAGCCGCGGGTTGTAGGGTCGAGGTTGTCGGTCGTAGTGTGTGTGGTCGTATTCGTAGTACGGCATCTTTCCCGGGTCTTGACAGCGTTGTTTTTGGATGAGGACGATGCGCACTCGTTGTCTCGAATGTGTCCTACGCCAGTGTGGTTGATGATGAGGATCCCGTGCAAGTGGGAGACGCTAAGTATTTACTTGGATGCCATTTGCAGCCTCGGCGCCTACGCATAAACGGGTCATTCTGGTGTTGTTGAGTGAAGACTGCCTTGTTTCCCCTGATCTGACCGTCACCACCTCCCTGCCTTCCGGGAAGGCTGCCAACAAGGAAGGCCGGAATCCGGCTTCCGTTGGGATATCAAGGAGACAAACCCGCTTTCTTCAGTGTATCATTAGACAAACAGAGATGCCTTCGCCCCGAAAACATTTGCGCATCTTGCTCGCTCTTAGTTATCTTTTGAGGCCGAGAACCGGCAGCCGGCATTGCGTGATCGAAGCCGGAGCATGTGGAAGCATCCTCCGAATGCCGCCTTCCTAAACCAATGCAAGCTTCTGCGGCTCAAGCCGACTTTCTCAGTCTTGCTATAGCCATCGCCGCAAAGTAAGGCGAGAAGGGACCCAGTTTCCCTAGGCGCACAAAGCCAGCTGGTTGTCGAATTGAGGCCATTTGAGTGATTGTCTTTTGACACTGCGTTTTCAAAATCAAATGAATCCCACCCGCGTTGGTCTGATCAGTGCAAGGTAGCATGCCGCCTAGCTCCCCGGCCACCGATACCGAGGCCGCCGCCACCATCACCACCACCTCCACACTAGGACGACCCGACCCCCGGGAAAGGCTAATAAACGGTGGCGGGCCGGGAACCGAGCGGGTCTTGGCGTCGTTGGCCCCCCCTCCTTCCCCATCTCTCCGTTCCCATTAGTCGCTTCCAACCCAGGGGGAAGGCGGGAGAGCGGAAGAAGGGTTCCCCCTCTCGCGCCCTTCTATTTTGGGCTTGTTTTATGATATTTCTGGAAATGACAACAATCGGGTTACCTTTGTACTTTGACATTTAACAGCAAACTTTAGGGGGGTTAGAGTTACTTCTTGCCCACTCTTCCGGCGACGGGTAGCAGAGAGATGCTTGACAAAAGTTTGAGATAAGTTTGTGGCTGGCAGCGCAAACGCGGAAGCAGACTCGCAACTCGCGTCAGCCCATCCACGCCACATGCAAACTTACATGACGGGTTACCCGAAAACGTCATTCCACTGTTGTCCCTAACCAATGGCTTTCACCGGGCAGGCGGATTGCGCGAGGGGGTAAAATACGGGAAATAGACCCATGTCGTTCATCGCGGCTGCCTCGACGCGGCCTTGAGGACAGACCTCACTTCCCCGAACCTCAACACGACGCTGGCATACTTTCTACTACATGCGTGCTTCCGGAGTCAAAATCTTACAAACAGTAAACTAGTTTATGATTTTTATTTTTTCCAAAAGACATCGGGCAGCCGAAGCCGATCACCAAGTCTATATCGTTGTTTGGATGCTTATTGTACATCCCCCCCTCTCAATGGAGGGGAAAAAAGACTGGGGTCAGTCACTGGCCAATCCTGCGCTGACCAACACAGCTCGCAGCTCCCCCCCCCTAGCTCTGGTGGAAACCGCTCCAGAAAAACAAAAACAAAGAGCGTTGACAATCTGAGCCCCAATCTCGTGCGGAGCAGCGAATGGGTTGGAGTAAAAAGGTAACGCTGCGACGTCAGAGTGGGCACCTTCTTGAAAAGTAAACAAAACAGGAGGAAGATACCTGAGGGAAATTACGGAATGGCCTTTAACACCCCCCCTTCCATCTCCCTCCATGTCATACAATCAATGTACCTAGCCTGAACAAGCCGACTGCACGACTGCAATACCTATGCAACGAGTTTCAGGAGGCGCACGGTCGACTTCTACTCTTTCTTTTTTCTATTTGTTTCCAAAGGAACAAACTAGGGACTCTCATCTGCAAGATACAACACCTGGATCAAGAGGGATATGAAGTTAGTACTTTGCATGAACAAGATGCCTTTCTTGCTCCTACGGCAGAATGCCTAGGACGGCCATTGCATAAAACGTGGCAGGGGCCTAAAAGCAGCTCGTCGTCTTTGATATGGTTTTCATTTGCATTCTCTGCATGCGTCTGTCTTCGGCTACTGCCTGGTATCAAGAAAATTGAAGAGGTAAAGAAAAGAAAGGAACAAGGGAAACACGATATCCAGAGGAACAAAATCCTGACCCGTATCCACGGTGTTCCAGTTGTGGTTCCCTCTGTCCTTCCCTCCCCAGAGTCCATGCAATCCTATATGCTGGTCGCTGATGACCATCCGAGCCCTGTTGATGCAAATGCGATCCCAGTATGAGGAAAATAAACAAAGAGAGAAAATCATTTCGCTGTTGCTGATGCTTTCGTGCGGCCGTCCTATCCAGGATTACGGCGAGATGTCCCCGATAATTATTCGCTTGTGAAAGAAAACCGCCCCTTTCAAATCGTCAAATCTTTTTTTTTGTTCGCCGTGCCCTTAGCCGTTTTGATCGCCGATCCATTGGCCTTATCGAGCAGTCTGGGATGTCCATCCTTGATCACATTCTAAGCGACCGCGATTGCAGGTGGACATTCCCTGTAGATCTCTGTCTTCATGCTCTTCAGTCGCTCGCGCATCTCGAGTAGGTCGTTCATCTTCTGCTGGGGCGGGTCGCGCATGTCGGCAATCTCCCAGTGCAGAGTCTCATACTTTTGGTAGAACGCCTTGAAACGCGCGGCTTTGCTGACCAGTTCAGGGCTGAGTCCGCGTTGACGCTTGGGAACTGGCTTGGTCCGGGCGCTCTCGTTGGAGTCGGAAGATTCCACCAACTTGCGCTTCTTGGGTGGCGCCGAGTGGTCCAGGTCTGATGCGTTCGTTGGCGGTGACGAAGCCAACGGCGAAGACTTGGCTGGCGAAGTGTTTTTGCTCTTGTAAGAGACGCCAGATGAATTGCGGGACGAGTTATGCGAGGCATCTGCGGGGCGCTGCTTCAGGCTAACGGGTGCCTTGATCGGCGCCCTGGGCTTCGCTCGCTTGGCCAGGGGAACGCCAGAGCTGGAGCTGCTGTCGTCTGCCTCGTCTTCTCGCTGTCGCTTAGGCGGCTGCGACTTGATCGCCTTCACAGCCTCCCGGGGAGGCTGAGGTGATTTCTCCTTGGGCCGCTCGATCGATCTCTCAACCGATCGGTCCGCTGGCTTCTCCACCGCTCTGGCTTTTGGCTTGGGCACAGCGATCTTTGGCTTTGGTGCAGGCGCCTCAGGTTTCTTCTTGGGGGCAGGTGCAGCGGCAGGTGCTGGTCTAGGCTTGGAGGCCACGATAGTTGCCATCGGCTTGTCCTCCGAGGACTCAGAGTCCGAGTCTGAATTGGTGACGAATTCTGCAGAGAGAACACGGCCGTTCTTGCCCGGGGCAGGCGCCTTCTCTTTACTTTTGATTGGTGCGGCCCTGGGAGTCGAAGTTTTCTTGTTCGTCGACAAGAGGCGCTTGACCTGGGAGTCAGCGGCCTTCTTCGGTTTCGCTGGTAGCGGATTCGACGATGACCGTGACATTGTTTCGCCACCCTTCATCTTGAGGACGTCTTCGTCTCCGTTGTCGCTGGTTGCGTCGCTGACCTTGATCTTGGGTGGGGGTGCCGCGGAAGAAGCCTTGGCAATGTTCGCCTGCAACTTGCTAAGGATCTTGCCCTTTCCTCGCTCTTCCCTCGGCAGGAGCTTCTGCCAGTCGGGCTCCGTAGTTGCCAACCGCATCTTGTCAAACTGTCGGATCGCATTATCGATCGCCTTTTGCCGGGTATCTTGGGTATCATAGTCGTACTTCCACACATCCAACTCTCTCCAGTAGTGCTTTCTCAACGCCCACATTTGCGTGTCCGGCTCGAATTGGGCAACCTTCTCCAGGGCGGGCTTGAAGTCTTCCTCTTTACCCTCCCAGAGGCCTTCTAGGTAGTCGTATGGCCGGTCCTGTACCGCCAGCTCGTGGACGATCATCGACCTCTGCTCCTTGGACTTCTCGACAACCTGTTGCGAGGACGAGAAGACTGGGTTTGTCGATGGTGAGCTGACGGCTACCAGAGCCGGAGACCCCGAAGGAGAAGACTTGCCGCCGCCGTTGCCATAGGACGCCATGCTCGACAGCAACGACTTGGCCGTCTTCCCTGTGGCCTTCTTGTTGTTTGATGGCGGTAACCTGTCCATGACCCGTGACCTATTGCCCTTGTTAGTTGTGCCATGACTAGCTCTGCCCAGTCACCGTCCACGTACTGCTTCTTCGACGCCGTCGCCGCGGCGATGGAGTTTTGCAGATTCTCTATATCTGAGTCCATGCCAGACGACGAGGTCGAAGGGGCGCCCTTTGCCTTGGCTTGTTCGGCCTTCTTAGGGGCCTCGGAGCTGGGCAGCTTCTTCCATAATGAGGAGGTTTGTGGTAATCGCGTGGCTCGTTTAGTCGACTCGAAAGGTTTCGTGAGGAAGAGGTCGTGTGAGTATGGTTCGGAAACCGGAGAAAGGATATGGGAGCTAGATCCGTAGAGCAATGTCTTGGAAGGCAAAACAGTTAGCACGCTGGCACAAAGAGGACTCGCGTCGGTCGACGGGTTTTGTTTGGGAGTGCAGCTCTTCCCCTCAAGATAGACAATGGGATTGTATCAAGGGGTTCGGAATGTCGGCAGGGAAGGTGCTGAGAACTGCTTACCGGGCTACTCCCCAAGGACAGTTGGAGGTCCTCGCCACTTTGCACACACCTGATCATGTCCTCCAGGACATGGTCGGATAGATTGATGGTAAAGGCCTGGGGCGGTACAGGATTGCCCGAGGCAGCCGAGCTCTCAAGAATGAGGCCGGTTTCGGGAACTTTGAGCGAAGGCATCGTGTATCTCTCTTTCCCTCTCGGATCACGCGAATCGGCTGTGTCGGAGGCTGGTCGCACTTTGCATGCTCAAGCTCGGCTTGAAAGATGTAGCAAGAAGACCAGAAGCTAGTATGAGGTCGGATTGAACAGTCGAGAAACGAAGGAAAAGGCTATCGGGTTGGGTAGTTGAGTTGTTGGAGACTTCCAAGTTGCGTGTATTGTTCTTGTAGGCGGATTATGGGGCGCAGGTAGGCAGGACGTCACATTGTAATGGCGAGTCGAATGGGGGGGCTTTTTCCGGCCTCGCAGGCAGTGAATGGGAGGGGGCGACGGTGTGATTGAGGTTGCGAGCTCCCCCTTTTTTTGCTTCCTTCTCGTCCCAAGGGTTGTGCCAAGTAAGAGGTTCACCACGATAACAAGGACAAGTGAGAAAGTTGCCTTGGAGGCAGAGAGGGTGAGGAGGAGGTGAAGGTGAGGAAAAGAAGTCGAGTACAGGAACAGGAGGAAGAGTAGCGGAGATGGAAGCACGGCCAGTCAGCCCATGTCCCCGGCCAAAAAGAGGGTGGGCCGTGGAACTTGCAGAGAGCGAGCGAGAGAGGACTTGGGGAGTGAGTGAGCCCCTCCCCCCCCCAGAGCAGGCTGGACCGCAGCAGGGCCGCCTCCAGACGTAGCAGGGCACCACCCACCAGCTCAAATTAGTGCTGGTACCTTTCTGGATACTTCGAGAGGGTAGTGGGGCTGGCTGGTTGCCCGCTGGGAGGACCCCTTAAAGACTGCTGGAGCACGCTGAATTTCTTGCAACAGTGGCCAAGGGCCCGCTGAGATGTAGGTATAGACCGTGTACCCAGCCCCCATGCGAGACAGGGTGCCACGCCTGGCCAATAACGGGTACATGTCGTGTACCTACTTTGCTGAGTTGATCAACTGAGTTTCCCAGTACCCATGAGGGAGGGGAGAGGGCAGGCACACTGAGTGACTGAGCAAAAGAGGAAGCAGGGGACCCGCCCTGAGTGCGATCTCTTGGGCAACCGGCGGCCATTACTGGCTGGGACGGAGGATTCGTCGGGGGACGCTGGTCGACGTGCTGGTACCTCTGATACCTCTGACCTTTCTGGTGGGCACGACAGGGGTGGTCGGTGTGGTGCCGGTATCCACGAGAAGGGAACGTCTAACTAAAGCACCTAGTCCTAGTCGGCCTGCCTCAAGAGGAAGAACAGAGGGACCCCAAGTCCCAAGGGAGTCGAAAGGAGAGCAACTGAGGGAGAGAAAGACCCTCGATTCTGGCCTTCCCTCTGTCTGCGTGCCGCTTGAGGAACGACCGCGTTCAGCACTGGCCAGCCCAGAGAGGAAAACCGGCCGGCCCCCTCGTCCCTCTCAGAGACAGAGAGTGAGACGGACGGACCGACGGACTGGCTGACTGGACAAGATATTCCTGGGCTCTTCTGGCTGCTGAGTCGAGAGGGGCTGTTGTAATGCATCGACCAGAGCCAGCCCCGTACGCAGCCGCGGCGCCACATGAACAAGGGCAAAGACATTGAACGGTGGCAGCGAGACAACACAACACAACACCGCCAAAGAGGCACCACCCGGGGTTCTCGATAGCGTGGGCAATAAATGGGCCAGAACCAACCCACGGGAATGGCTATCGTGCCATTGGCAAAGGGTACGACAGTAACAACAACTCGGCCGGGGGAGAGAGGGAGGGGGCAAGCCGGAATTGCATCCGATGACAGGCAATCGCCGGTCCCTCACTTCGTTCCATAGCATCAATCCATAATCCAGTCAACCTTCACCGTATCCCTCTGTTCCTCGTCTGCCAGTCACGCGGCGCAGGTCCACTTGGCAGCATGACACTTGACAGCAAAAAGCCCATGAAGAAAGCGTAATAAATGAAGAAGAAACTGTTAGACACGCCCCAAGCGGCAAATACACTACCTACCTACTAGTAAGACGAACATGCTGATTTGACTGCACCGCAGCCGAAAACAAAGTGACCGCAATACAATACCTCGCCGTTCCAAGCAGGGAAAGGGAAGGTGGTATTCGCATTTGCTTTTTTTTTGTTATCCTTTACTCCGTACGGATACTCCGTACTCCTTCTTGAGTCCCACAAATGTTCCCGTTCCCACTCGTTGGGCAATATCCTCACCTTACCCCCTTGTAACTCGTCTCCTGAGACTTCATCGCTTTCTTTTTGTCATGATAAACCGCCAAAGAAGAGGGAGACAAATCGCACTTGCTGGCCGGTTGCTCGCTTAACGGGAACCGGGAGCGGGCAGCATGTGATAAACCCTCGGACTCTATTAGGCTTTGTCTCGCCGTTTCCATGAGCTGCCCATATCCTTCTGGATCAGCATCTTTGATTCATGTTTCTACCGTGTGGGGATAGAAACATCATGCAATCGTCCACCCTTATTGGATGGGCAAGGGGCAACAATCCCATCGAGTAATTACTACATAGTAAGGCACTCTGCACTCACCGTCTAGGTACCATGGGGTGGAGAGAATGCCCAGCTGCTTCAATGCTTCAAATTGTTTGACTGACGGGCTATCCGTCCAAACTTGACACACGGCCGCGAACCTTAATGGGAACTGGATGGGGGAGGGGGGCGCACTCTCAAGGACAAAACCGCGTTGTCCAACCCAGTCTGCCTAGGTAAGTGCTAGTCCCAGGTCGACCGCATCTAGCGGATCTGCCACCCGAACGTGGCCCTCGCCTCCGTCTCAACTGTAAGTAACATGGTTACATGCTCACTACCTTCACTCGTCGGTCCGACCATGGCCCTTCCGCTGCTGCATCTGTCTGCAAGGCATTTCAATCCGTTTAGCTGGGACACGGATATGCTTGCACCCGCGAGCGTGCAATACATGATTAGAGGAAGAATGCGACGGATTTCGGCACTCCATTGCCAGAGATAATTGGGATGGCGCACATGCTTGATCCAACCCGCCCGTTGACTGCATTCCTCCCTCGGTTGGCAACATCGCACTTGTAATCGTAGGGACGAAGCCGATCCACTTCGGTGCTACAGTACTTCGTGCAGCGCAATCCTCAGGTGAGAGATGGGTTTGTGTCTCGTCCTGGTACCTTGCCGTTGGCGTGCTTGTACACTATTATTTCGGCGATGCCCAAGCCCAGACGGACCCACTTTCTCTCTCCAAGATACTGCAGCGGTACATGACCTCGTGGCTGCAACCAAAAGTGCCATTCTCCCGCGCCCCCGGCACATCGTCACCCGTCCACTTGGGCGCCGCTGGACTGACCGTAAAGAGCGCTCCAAGAGCAATCTTTGTTGCAGAACGGATGGCGGTTGGCGATTAGCAGGTAGGTGGCAGGCAGACGGAGCTGCAACACCCACAATGAAAGGCAGGAACGTTCGCTTCATGTTTGTCTCGTTTCAACCCTCGGGTGTTTCCCCCATGCACCCACCTTTGGCTTTGCCGTCTTTTCTCTTTGCTGGTTTTTTTATTTTGATTTGATTCATTTCTTTTTCGACGCCAACGTCTTTACGCCAGATCGTTTTGCTTCTTTCCTAGCCTCCCTTCAGCCAGCCAAGCTGACTCTGCGAAACAGGGGCGCAGCCTATTAAACGTGTCGTCTACAGGCCTCTCGCTCATCTTTGGAAATCATTCGAGTTATGCCAGTGACCGGTACCACAAACACGGAATCGTCGCCCCGAGGCGGGAAGCAACCCATCCCGTTCACCTGCCGACGCTGGTGCACCTGGCCGGTGAATCAAGTGACAGCACAAGCGAGACCGTCTCCACATGAACCCACACGAGATCCGCACCAGCTGCAGCATGAGAAGGTCAGGTACCACCATCCGCCCGTCTGTGACTCCGTTCGAAGGACGAGGCGACCTTGACGACATGCTCAACCACTGGCTGCACATGGACAATAGGCACAACACCTTGCATTTCGGCTTTTCTAAGAGGCTTGGCCGGGGCCAACTCGAAGCTCACAGCAACAGGCCAACCGTCTGATTCACCAGACTTCATCTTCCCTTTCCTGGGCCGTATTGAAACCAGTCATATGTCGACGACTGCGGCGACCAGCGACACGACAGTTGCAGTACGTACATGTATTGCTGGTGTGCCAGTTCAGCCGAACGTGGGCACGGTGTGGGCGGTGTTGGAATGTTAGGAGGGTTCCCTGATCAGGCACGCACCAGTTGCTGCGCAGTCAACGTTGTTACGGTCACTGGCCACGTTCTGGCCGCAAAAGGGAAAGCCAAGGAGCATCAGGCAAGGTGAGGTCAGCCGGCGCCAATACGAATGGTGTAGCAGCAGCCACCGGCGGTACAGTCGTCAGCCCGCCTCGCCTTGCAATGCCAGCGAAGCAAAGAAAGATGCAAAGAAGCCTCCCGAATACCCACGTCTGGGTTGGGTTCCCCGTCCTGACTCGTCGATCCCCTTTGTTCGTTTCGACTTCTCTCGGCAGGCGTGGAAAGCATTCGCAAGACACCAAGCGGCAGCATGATGCCTGCTCACCTCCTCTGCGGCAACGTTAGATTCTTTCCCGGATACCGGGTCAGCAATCAATTGTCAATCACAAAAACAGGCGACTTTTGCCTTCCGGTCGAGGCCCGGCAGGTTGGGCACCAGCCACTCACTACAAGCTCAGTGCACCCACCCTCAAACTGTCGTATAGCCTGGGTACCCTTCAGGTCCGGGACAGGCTGTATTCTGCGCCCGAGGTACATGTCCGATACCTGGCTAACCCGAAGATAGCAGCACGTACCGTACAGTACTCTGCTCAGCCGAGGTACCTAAGTACCCACCTACGAGTAGGTACGGAGTAGATACTTCGCACCTACCTAGGCAGGTACTCGCAGGTGTACACCATCCAGTCCGGAATGGGTACCTGGAGGACAGCAGCCGTGACGCCTGACGCTGTTGTACCTCGAGCATCCCTGCGCATCTGCGTACTACCATGTACCTATGGAGGTAGGGAAGCCTACGCTCGTCCTCAGGCAAGCGCGTGGTCCAGTCAGCTCTTTTCTCGACGACGCCTCCAA